TCCACCCTCCGCTGATGCCCCCAGATTGCCAAACATATGAAAATACTCCACTAAACAATTTTTTTTTCATTTTTAAAGAAAAACACGTTACATCAACTTGATGTGTTGTCGTGTTGATAAACTTCTCTTTCTTTTTTGCCAACGAATTGTTGCCAAACGGCTGGCATTTATATTATTAGGCCGCACTTGTACAGGAATTCTTTCATCTAAACTAGATGGCCGGTTTTTTGTCAATTAAAACCGCAAAAAAGAGTGAGAGATTTTTTTCATTGTCAGGTCATTCATCAGGATAACTAATCTGATCAAATTAAAAAAATAATTTAAGCTAGTTATTTGTAATAAACAGATGTTATCTTTCTTAAAATATCATTAATTGACAATAACTTAATGCACTTAGGAGAATATTTTAATAATATAAATAAAAAGTATCGAACACGCTGGATCCTAATATATAAGTGATTTTTAAAATATTTATTTCATCTCTATAACTATCATTCAATGATAATTTTGCGTGCTCGTGAAAAAAGTGATGATTTTACGCATCTTTACTTCATATTACTGGTATGTTTTAGAGAACTTTATGACGCGACGCGCCACCAAGCATACTGTTAATAAAGATAAATAAAATAAATCTTCTTTCCAGGGGCACAAAGAGACTCCTTCGTCTACTGCTAAAGATGTGTTTGGATTGGTTTTTAAGAAATAATTTTACAGTGTTTGATATAAGCATGTGATAAATATTTTATCTTAATTTACGTAAAAAGATGTTTTTTAAATTAATTTTGGTGTTTTTCAAACACCGCCTTAGTCACATTTTCTTAAACAGGGGTGTCCTCTTATGGAAGGCAAATGTGAACAACCATTCCGACGAGGATTTGAAGTTTAGTTGGTAACACTTGTTTGAATTTAAAATAAAATGCTCACTGCCAGGCAGAGAAATAACCATCGGTGCATCCCGGGTTGGAAATAGACGAAACTCTTGGCCCCAACAAATCAAGATCTTCATTGTCTTCAAGGTCCCATGTTGCCTGCCTCCGTAACAATTGCCACGTCCCCCCTCTTGGATGGATTGTCAAGAACCATCTTATTGAATTCATGTGCGGACGCTTGGGGACTTTTTTTCAATATAAAAAAATTAAAAAAATGGGAAAAAGACAGAAAAATGCCACTTGAATTTCATAATTCCCAAATAATCTGCTGAATTTGAGAAAAAACCAAATTGTCCTTCATTTTAAATATTGTTTTTAAAATAGCACAGCCCTCACTGGCCAGTTGGTCGCCGGAGCTCCGGTGACGGGCCGACAATTGGTCACTAGAGCTCCATCCATCGGAATTTTTTTTGTTGAAAATTTTTACAATTTCAGTATAACGGTTAACATCTTTTGTAATACTATTAACAACTTTAGTATAGCAGTTAACAATAGGTTTTCTAGGAAATTCAACAAGCTCTGGCGACTGGAAACAATTTTTTTAAAATTTTTTACAACTTCAATATAACCGTTAACAACTTTTGTAACGCTATTAACAATTTCAGTATATCGGTTAACAACAGATTTTTCGAAAAATTCAACAATTGGTTGTCGGAGCTCCGACGGAGGAAAACAATTTTTTTGAAAATTTTTACAACTTCAGTATAACGGTTAACAACTTTTGTAACCCTATTAACAATTTCAGTATAACGGTTAATAACAGTCTTTTGAGTTTGTTAACGGCATTACTGAAGTTATAAAAATGCCACTTTTTGAATTTTCTGAAAAACCTGTTGTTAACTGCTATATTGAAGTTGTTAATAGAGTGACAAAAGTTGTTAACCATTATACTGAAGTTGTTAAATCTTTTTTTTTAAAAAAACATAACTGTTGTTAATTTACAATTTCAGTATAACAGTTAACAACTTTTATGATGCTATTAGCAACTTCGATATAGCAGTTAACAATAAGTTTTTTGGGAAATTCAACAATTGATTGTCGAAGCGGCCGGAACAATTTTAAAAATTTTTTTTACAACGTCAGTATAACAGTTAATAACTTTTGTAATGCTATTAACAACAAGTTTTTTGAGAAATTCAAAAAGTAGCAATTTTACAACTTTAATAATGCCATTAATAAGTTCTGTAACTCTATTAACAACTTCAATATAACATTTAACAACATATTTTCTTAAAAATTAAAAAAAAGGCAGTTTTACCACTTTAGCAACTTTTTTTTTGAAAATTTTACAACTTCAGTATAACCGTTAACAACTTATATAATATCATTAACAACTTTAGTATAGCAGTTAACAACAAGTTTTTCGAAAAATTAAAAAAGTAGCATTTTTACAACTTCAGTAATGTCGTTAGCAAGTTCCGTAACTCTATTAATAGTTTCGGTATAGTATTTAACAACAGGTTTTCTTAAAAATTAAAAAAAAAGGCATTTTTATAACTTTAATAATTACATTTTTTTTTAAATTTTTACAACTTCAGTATAACGGCTAACAACTTTTGTCACTTTATTGACAACTTCGATATAGCAGTTAATAACAAGTTTTTCGAAAAATTCAAAAAGTGGCATTTTTATAACTTCAGCAATGTTGTTAACAGACTTAAAAACCTGTTATTAACTGCTATATTGAAACTGTTAATAAGGTTACAAACGTTGTTAACTGTTATATTGAAGTTGTAAAAATTTTCAAAAAAAAATTGTTTTCCTCTACCGGAGCTCTGGCGACCAATTGTTAAATTTTCTGAAAAGTTATTAATAGAGTTATAAAAGTTGTTAACAGTTATATTGAAATTGTAAAAATTTTTAAAAAAATTGTTTCTGGTCGTCGAAACTTGTTGAATTTTCTAGAAAACCTGTTGTTAACTGCTATACTAAAATTGTTAATGGCATTACAAAAGTCGTTAGTCGTTATACTGAAGTTGTACAAATTTACATCCAAAAAAAAAATCCAACCGACGGAGCTTCAGTGACTAATTGTCAGCTGGCCGCCGGAGCTCCAGCAACCGACTAGCCAGTGGGGGCAATGCTATTTTTAAAACAATATTTAAAATGAAGGGTAATTTGGTCTTTTCTTTTAACATGATAATCCTAATTTGGTCTATTGAGATCAAATTGGGATTTCTCAAATTCAGCAAACCATTTGGGGATTATGAAGTTTAAGTGGCATTTTTCTGTCTTTTTCCCAAAAATTTAGGTGAATTAGTTCATAAAAATTCACTAGAGCTAATGTATGTATCTAGGTCTTATGAGTTATGAATCGATTCTTTAACAACAAGAATTGATTCTTATTCCCTTGAAGGCACTTTTTTTTTTGCTAAAGCATATGTATCTTTCTATTTGAAGCAATACTATTCGAGATACTGTTGGACACTAAATATGGGCACTCTCCCATCGAAGATTCGAACCTTGATTCATTATGTTGTGAGGAACTAGCTCTTTCTGCTAGATCCAATCCCCTATTGGTGCTTAAAGGCACTTGTTGCTGCTGAGTGTTTGAAATTTAATTCCTCTTAGTGTTTTTGTAATGTTTTATTTTCGGGCTTAGCCCTCCCTCATACAAGGAGGGGAAAACAAAAAAAAAGGCCACGTCCCACCGCTATTCAATTCAAGAATCGAAACTAGACAACCCAACCCAAATTCCTCGTCCCATTTGAAAGGTGCTAGGCTTTAAAAATTTATTATGATATTTTATAAAATAATATTTCCTCACACATTTATTTTAGAGAGAACTATAATGGGGTCATAAAAAAGAAAAAAAATTACAAAACAAGTCGTAGGAGTTGTTATTCTCTACTCTGAAAGTTATTATAGACTGTTTAGATTGTCATTAAGATTTTTTAATAATTATTTCTCTTTCTTAAAATTTAATTGTAATTCTTCTTTTATTTTATATAAAGCAAAATCGTCGAATGTTGACAAATGTTACCTTTCTCCTTTTTTTATATAATAATTTTGCATTAGCGATCTTAGAAGTTGAAAATATGCTAATAATTACTACGCTAATCCTAAGCTATTGAGGATCTCAAGCTTAATGAAATAGATAGAAGCGTCTTGAATAATTTACTGTAATTTTCGGCAATCGGCATGCATAAACAACTGATTAATGAGGACATTTAGAAAAGATAATATTTATATGTTATAAATAACTAACTTAACTAATTTTTTTTAATTTTTTTCAAATTAGTCATTTAGATATTATATTAAGGAGGAGTATTATGATATATTTTTGTTTAGGCATGTGTGATGCTAGAACTGCGATCAAAGGGAGTGGTCAGGTTATTGATTTTGTCAAAAAATTCATTGTCGTATAACAATGTCGTATTAATTAATTAACTACTATAATTGTAAACCTGAAGCGCAAATAAAACAATAATTAATAGGGCAAAACTTTTTTGGTATTCATTGGTATCAGAAATACAGGGCTTGTTTGGTTTCTTGTTTTGAAAACAGGTTTTTATTTTTAAAAACAGAAAAACGAAAAAAACTTGCTTGGTAATTTGTTTTTAGTTGACTGTTTTAAAAAATAAAAAATAGCAACATATTTTTAAAAACCAAGACACCAAAACAACTTTTAAATGTTTTCTTGTTTTTGTCTCTTTTTTATTTTTTATTTTGAAAAGTTTTGAGAAATTTTCTTCTTTTCTCACCTACTATCCATTATTTATCATTAGTAGTGATAATTATTATCTACAAGATATGATTTTCTATAGTTTTTTTTAAACATGATTTTTTAAAATTATTATTCAAACAAATTCTTTTATTTTTTTAAAAACTTGTTCTAAAAAATAATTTTATAAAATTGTTAAAAAAAACAAAGGACAAAAACAAGGCCCATATTTATTTCCTAGAAGTCAAGGACGCGAACAAACAGCACACACGGTTAAAAATTAAAATATCAATCAAAAGAAATGAATATGCTAAACGCAAGGGCAATTTGCCATTATCCTTAACTTGTAGGACTGGGACCGCCAAGAAAGGAAGAAGAAATGGCTAATGGCATAACTGGGAGGAGGTAGGTGAGTCGAGGGGCCAGAACACGCAATATCGAGGGGCAATATCGTCCCGCGGGAGCCAGCCCTCCTACACCGATCCGTACATTCTCTAAACGTCAAGGCAACACAGATCTTGCATTCTCTTGCATTATTCTTCTCTTCGTTGCTGAACCGGGTCCAACCGAGCACATGGGAGTCCCTGCCTTTTACCGGTGGCTGGCAGACCGCTATCCGCTCTCGATTTCCGATGTAGTCGAAGAAGAGTCGGCCGCCGGCGACGGCGGTGTTTCTTACCCTGTTGATGTGTCGAAACCTAATCCCAATGGCATGGAGTTCGACAACTTGTACCTGGACATGAACGGTATCATTCACCCTTGTTTCCACCCCGATGGCAAGGTACATGCTTCAGCTCAACTCACTTTTATCTGCTCCTTTTGTCCCCCCAATCACATGTTAATTTGTTCTCCTTCGTTTGAACCGGCAAATTTGCAAGTGAATTCACATTTTATAGAGAGTCTAGAAAAGGCTTTATGGGATTAAATTTCCATACTTTAGAAGCAGGGTTGTATAATTTTCTCCTTTCTCGCAACACCTTGCTATGGATATGCTTTTTCATCTACTATGCTTTTTCCATATGGTAATTCTCATAGTAATATCTGCTTCTTTAGTCCAAGAAAGTCGGTAAGTACAGTTAATGCTAAACTTAACTCGAGAGAGAGAGAGAGCAGGACTTTTTAGTGGCATTTATTTTATTTACCCCATTTTCTGTCTAGAATCGAGCATCATCGTTCCATTCACTCGGTGAAATTTCTGCTTCAACTTCCTAACGCATATTTACATGACTAGCGTAGAAGAACCTCATAGAAGTCTGCTATCCCAAAACTGCTGGGATCAGTGGTTTCAGGATTTTTCGTGGACCGTAGCACTAAAAGATTGAGATAAGAGAGACAAACGGGTGTAGTTTGGGTTGGAAATTCTTTAGTTGGTGTGTTTGTCTCGTCTAACTAATAATTGTCTGTTGACAATATGGTGACATGATCTATGAAGTGATTTCTTTAAACTTGCATTGCTGTTTTAAAAATTGTATTGTTTCTGATAAATCTCTAATTGCAGCCTGCACCTGCTACCTATGATGATGTTTTTAAATCAATATTTGATTATATTGATCATATCTTTTCGTTGGTTCGCCCGAGGAAGCTTCTCTATCTTGCAATTGGTACGATGCATATGTTTATTTTTTTAAATTTATTTCTAATGTAATCCTTTCTTCGGGTATTACATTTCCGTTGGCAGATCTATTTATGTTAGAGCTCCGACAATGATAGGTTTTAAGTCCAAGGAATATGAGAACTTTATATCAAAGAGCCTAACAATCTTTTGTTTGCTTGTCAGGCCTATTACTGTATGTGTACTATGAATTTTAAATTTGGTGAAAATTTTATCATGTAAAGTATTCAGTCATGTGTATGGAAAATTATACCGAATAACCAAGATGGGGAAGCCTTTTATATATCCACATTTTACAAGTAGGCAATCTTTGCATCTGTCTGAAATGCTAAGGCTTTTGATTCGGTGGGGTCAATTGCTAGTTCTCTTTTTCTTCTTCATTGAAGTTAGTTAGAGAAAAGACAAGCTGTTAATCAATTTAGCATATTTGGATTATGTATATCAAAATTCTCCCCTTTCAAGGAGGAAGTCAAAGTACGATGTATCCATACAGTTGTCTGTTGATAGAATGCAATGATGTAATGCAATTCATTTAGCTAGCCCTATCTAGTGGGATAGAGCTTGTTGTTGTGAGGAGGTGGGCAAGGAGATATTCTTTTATTCTACTCCTTCTATTTGAGATTATATTTCTTGTTTAGTTGACCCAAGGGATTATGGTATCTTTTATCCCACACCAAACCAGATTTAGCACATGCAGTTCAAGGTGCGATTCAAATTATGCTCAGCCAAGTGATCAAGGCATGAATGCTGTCTTATCTGAAAATTATTGAACTTAGGTTCAGTCCAAGCAAGCCCATAGTGTTATTCTGTGATAATACGGTAGCTATTCAGACTGCTAATAATCCAGTGCAACATGATTGAACTAGGCATGTTGAGCTTGATAAGAAATTAGGAACCATATTAAGGATAATCTCTTTTCGGGCACTATATACTAGAGGCTTGGACCAGTGACTAGTTGGCTGACATTATGACTCATGCTGTTCCTAGCAAATCTATATTGTCATCAGCTCCCGAGTTGGGTATGTGTGATATTTATGGACCAACTTGAGGGGTTGAGCTAACAAGAAGTTAGGCTGTCAATTAATTCAGGATATTTGAATTATGTCTCTTTAAATTTTCCTTTTTTTTTTTAAGTCAGGAAGACATTCTTTTAATCTGGTCCTTTTCTATAGGATTAGTTGACCCACGGGACTTTGCATATATTTCACTTGAATAGAGAGGTTTACAACAAAAATTTGAATAACTTCCCTCTTTAGCCATTTCCTTTCATGTGCTCTTTTTCCCCCTTTCAAAATTTGCACGAATTCCTTATTCCATATCTTGCAGATGGTGTTGCGCCAAGAGCCAAAATGAATCAGCAGCGTTCTCGGCGCTTCAGAGCTGCAAAAGATGCAGCTGAAGCTGTAAGATACTATGCTCATGTTATTACAATGATTCTTTTATTTTCATGACGAACTTTTTGAACCTGTGATGCTTTTATGTGTGAATCTGAAGGAAGCTGAAGAAGAAAGACTGAGAAGAGAATTTGAGGCTTTGGGAGAGCTTTTACCTTCTAAAGACAAGCCTGAAACTTCTGACTCAAATGTCATCACTCCTGGCACTCAATTTATGGCCGTGCTGTCTGTGGCCCTTCAGTATTATATACAGACTAGATTGAACCACAGCCCTGGCTGGCGGGATACAAAGGTGCTACTATTTAATGCCATGTAGTTTTTACTTCTCTTGGTCCCTTCTAGAGTTAACAATGTATTTTTTGTTAAGTAATTCTTCCTGTGTTTTGTCCCTTGGAAGAAAAAGAATTTTTATGATACTTTCTTTCCATTTATTTTACTTATGGGGCTGCATTATGTGATCATTGGAAGGTTATGCTTTCTGATGCAAATGTCCCTGGTGAGGGAGAACATAAAATCATTCAATACATTCGACTTCAACGCAACCTTCCTGGTTTTAATCCAAACACTCGACATTGTTTGTATGGGTTGGTGAGTAGTTTTCCAAGCATCGTTTTTTTTTTTTTTGGGGGTACTTTACTTGACTTGTACGTGGCATTTTCTTTGAATCAGGATGCTGATTTGATTATGCTCTCTTTAGCTACTCACGAGGTTCACTTTTCAATATTGAGGGAGGTTAGTTTCCAATTAATCATTATGATGGTATTAGCTCATTGATCTCTATGCTTAGTCTAAATGATTACCCGGGTACACAGATGGTTACTTTTCCTGGACAACAGGAGAAGTGTTTTTCATGTGGCCAAGTTGGTCATCTTGCAGCTGATTGTCAAAATAAACCTCGTGATAATGCTGAGGATTGGAATCCAGTAGATGACACCCCAATTCACAAGAAAAAATATCAGGTTGGAAGACTGATACTTCACATCTGGAGCTAGATCTTTTCTTTTTCTATCCAGGGGAATTTAAATTTACTTACCCCTTGTGTACAGTTTCTTAACATCTGGGTACTGCGGGAGTACTTGCAATATGAATTGGATATACCCAACCCGCCTTTTGAGATTGACTTTGAACGCTTAGTGGATGATTTTGTTTTTCTATGCTTCTTTGTTGGCAATGACTTTCTTCCACACATGCCAACATTAGAGATCAGGGAGGTAAGCAGTTGGCAGAACTGAGTTCCTTTGAGTTATTGCCTGTAACAATAGATATCTCAAGTGTGTCAGCTTCTTGTTTCTCTATAGTCATTTTGTAGTGCTGTGCATATTTCTTTTTACCAAATTGCTTATGCTGCTGCCTTTTAACTTCGTACTAATTCAGGGGGCAATAAATTTGTTGATGCATATTTATAGAAGGGAATTCACTGCCATGGGTGGCTATCTTACCGAAGCGGGTGAGGTAAATTTCTCTCTCTTTAAAGTTCAGTTAATTTCTTCTCAGGCTATCATACTTCATTATCTTATTGTGATTTATAATTAATTCTTTTATAAAAAAGAATTAACTCATGAGCAATCAGCTTGGAAGTTTCCATGATTGTTTCTATTTGAATTTTTATTTGTCAGGTCTTCTTGGATAGAGTGGAACATTTTATCCAAGCTGTTGCTGTTTATGAAGATCAAATCTTTCAGAAGCGAGTTCGAATTCAACAGGTATTCTGCTTTTTTCTGTTTATTTATTTATTTTTATTTCCAGGGGTCTTGCGGTCATAAACCTTTTACTGCTTAAATACAATGTTGCATTACTGCTTAGTGGTTAAATACAAAGTTGCATTAAACAGATGAGGAGCGCCTGCAGGTACTTTGACTGTTGCTGGCATTTGATCTAGTTGCATTATAATTGCTCTAAGAGTGAGATAATCAAATCTTTCTAATTATTTGTTGAAGGGAAAAAAGCACGGCATGCAGAGTTCAGTGTTTGGACAGATTTTTTAACAAGGGCTCTAAGCTCTGAGGAATATTTCATTGTTCACTTTTCATATAAATTGTTTGCCCACTCAAATTTCTCACTGACGTGGTTTTTAACACGTGCATGCAAATACAATTATTATCTATTCTTTTGGTCCTGCTCATACCATGTTAATAAAAAGCTGCTGCTAATACGTCACAAGTTAGATTGTAACATCATATTTTTCTCGAGGCTCTTTAAATATTTTCATGATCTAATGTGCGTAATCTTTGTTTTCCTTTTTGATTCCATATGCAGGCTGCAGAAAGTAATGAAGAGATGAGAGCTAGGGCAAGAGGGGAAATACCTGAAGAGCCACGGGCCTCAGCTGTTGATAAGGTTCGATGTTAAGATTTATTTCCATGATATTTCTCGCATTTTGATTTGAGGATATTTGGTATTGATGTTGCTGATGTTACAATGGTATTACATCTGGGAATTGGCATTTAAAAAGCGTTTTCTCTTAGAAGTAAGTTTGCTTGAAGAGCTTGAAGATTTTTTGATTTCACAAATAATTTGTTGGGTATATTGCAGGATTCCACATGGAGAGTTTCTTGTGCTTGATTATTTTACCCCTCCCTCCCCCCAACTTTCTTTAATCATGTACAGGCAAACACAAGAGAAAGTTTAGTGTTTGTTTTGATGCAAACTGCTTTGCTTGGATTCATCATGAAATAAAGTGACCTTATGCTCGAGACTCCTTTGGAACAACTCAATAATTATTTCTCAGACTTCTAAAAATGATCATTCTTTTTCTTTGTGATTAGAATTGTACGCTTTTGTAAGCGTATGGTCTGTATTTTTAAGATTAGAAGGATTAGTATGTGAAATTTGTTTGCAGTTGGAGCCCAGAGCTGGGCCATTGTTGACATTACAAGTCTTGTGACTTTAGCTACCCAGAGTTGCTGTCAAAATACTTATGTTATTAACTGTTTATTGTTTTCTCAGGTTAGGTTAGGGGAGCCTGGATACAAGGAAAGGTATTATGCTGAAAAGTTTGGTGTGTCAGGGCTCGAGGATATTGACAACATTAAAAAAGATCTAGTGAGTTCTATTATCAGTCTTTGTGGCTTCAAAGTCTGGCTGATAAACTTAATATGCTCTTGCTTTTCATGGATTCCTCCTCTTTCCCCAAAATAATTGTGCATGCACGGATGCTTATGCGTACATACACATGCTACATATTTTCCTATTTTGTTAATCAAACCCACACAATTCCCACACGTTCTTTTTTTTTATAAAAAAAATTAAACATTCATGTTATATGCAGTTAATTCTCCTAGATTTCTTGTGCAGGTTTTGAAATATGTGGAAGGCCTATGTTGGGTTTGTCGATACTACTATCAGGGTGTTTGCTCATGGCAATGGTTAGTTTGACTTTCATTAGTTATAAAATATATGTGCTATCCTGCTTTTCCTATGTTTTCCTCTATTGACTTGTTGGGTTGCTAGATTTACATGCATGATATAGCCACTAAGACTCCTCTTTGGTTGCTTAGATGATTGAAGACTTCGGGCCTTTTCTCATGCATGAAGCTTACTTTTCTTCAAACCTAATTGTCCACAGTTTCTGAAATATATCTTTCCTTCCATGGAGACTTGTATGGTTGGAATATGAGCTTTTATTGAAAGGTGACAAGGCAGTTACAAAAATGTGGAATGATTCACTTTGTTTTTATGACTGTACTGATAGTGTCTTGATAAATGTCTTTGTGCATGTTGCTTTTACAAATGATGAGTTTGGACATTTCTTTACCTGTTGAAACTCATACTCTATTCTTGAGGACTTCTTTTTAGGACCAAGGCTATTTGTGAGTTACTTTAAGACAATTGACGAGAACTGATAGAAGATTGGCTTTTTTGATAAAATATCACCCGTGACTACTATTAAATCTCTCTCTGATTGTTGTTACAGGTACTACCCATACCACTATGCTCCTTTTGCTTCTGATCTTAAAGATCTAGCTGATCTGGAAATAACCTTTTTCTTGGGAGAACCGTTTAAGCCGTTTGATCAGCTCATGGGGACCTTACCTGCTTCAAGGTTTCTTCCCCTTTCCTGTCTTTAGATTTTTTGTCTTGCGCTTCCTATTCTATTTTTTATATATATATGCGCTTATCATTTTCATGTCACAGTTCAAATGCGCTGCCTGAAAAATATAGAAATTTAATGACCGATCCTTCATCACCTATTTCTGACTTCTATCCTGCTGGTAAGTTCGTTTGACTTCTTTTGATTTTTCCTGCTATATCTTATGTCATTTAATTTCTTTGCTGGTATTGATTTGATTCTTTTTTAACAGATTTTGAGATTGATATGAATGGCAAACGGTTTGCTTGGCAGGTAATATTTAGTGTTTTTACACTTGTGATGCTTTAGAGTGAAGTTGTGGGGGTCAAAATTTATGTTTTTAATATAATTTTGGGGACCGCCTTTCAGGGTGTTGCCAAGTTGCCATTCATTGATGAGAAGAAATTACTGGCTGCAACAAGGAAGCTTGAAGGCACATTAACGGTCTGCTAAAGGAAATTTGTTCTAGAGTTATTTATGATCACTATTTCTATAATCGATGGTTTAAACAATACTTGGTTCCGCTTTTACTGGTTATCACTGACTTTATTAGCTTTGTGGTCCGCTTTTTTCTCGTCTTCAAAATGGATTAAAGAAGAGACCATCAAATTAAAGCTGGGGATTTCTAAATTTTTCTTTAAACGTTTTTGTGGGTATTCTAGAATTTATTTTGGTATAAGTTATTAATTAATTCAATGCTGAACCTTAGTGGCTAGTTGTTTCTTTCCGGAGTTTATTGTGCAAGCATTCTCTACATATAGTTGCATTTATATGTGTTTGGCTGGAGGGAACGTAGTTGCTATACCATAGCCGCTTCTTAATATATCTGAGATCCTATGCTGCGATCATCGTATTCTGCTGCTTCTTATCCTCCTCTTCCTTATGCTTCTCTATAAGATTTTGATAGAAGATCAATTAGAAATTTATTTCATATTTTTAAAATGTTCAATTAAAATGTGGGTTTATACTTTGCACGGACTCCAAGGCAAATTGAATTGTGTACGGGTTATGAACAGTGCAATTTCCTATAGGTTTTATATCATGCATAGATACATATATAATATTTCTTACTGATTAGCTAGTCATCTGCAGGCAGAGGAGCAACTCCGGAACAGTGTGATGCTGGACTTGCTTTATGTCAGCCCTCAACATGCTTTAGCTCCACATATTGTCTTGTATTATCAACTTTATCACCTATCAGCTCCATTCGAAAGGCCTGTTTGGCCAATTGACACAAATGCTAGGTTGGTGAATGTGTCTATGGTCAATATTTATGAACAACAAGTGGTGTTTAATCAGCTCCCCTTTTCTAATTAGCAGTGGTGGAATGAATGGATATCTTTGGCTTTGTGAAAGAAATGAGTTGAGACCTTTTGTGTGCTCCCCTGTCAATGGATTGCCTCACATTGAGCATAACCAAGTACTGTAAGTTTGTCTTACATGCCTATTAACTTCCCCCAGTATATGGAAAGTTCTTTAAGACAATTTATGATGAGTTTTCTGTTGGCTGAATTTCAGAAACATTACTTATCTCAATCCCCCTCGAAGCCACAGACACATCCCAAAGCCTCCTGCTGGTGTGGTCATGCCCGGAAAGGTGTGCATATTGCAGCTGCTTCTATTTAGTTTGGCCAGACTTAACTCAGTTTGGTTGCCACCGATGGACTCATACTTTTTGACTTCTTGTGGGATTTAGCTTTCTTAATTTTTTAATCAAAGAAGAAAATTTCATATTGATCTTTGTCTTATTTTTGGATCACTGATGTAGATCATAGTTACTTTGGCATTTTTTGTCTGCAGATTTTAAAACCCATTGATATCAAACCTTTCCCTGTTCTATGGCATGAAGATAATGCAGGTCGGAGATATGGAAGGGATAGGTGAGGATCTGTTGCTCAGGTTTACAATTTCTTTCGATTTTCTTAGGATACAGTATGTCTATGATATGAGGACCAAAATCCCCCCCCCCCCCAGTTTTTGATCAATAAATGTTTTGCACCATAATTGCTGTATCTTACAAGTAATCATTAATGTTTAAGCCCTTAAAATTCTTATGCATGGAGACACACTGTAGAAAGCTTGTCACCTTACTTTTTAGCACCCAATGAATCTTACAGGCCACAAGTACCTGGAGCAATAGTGGGCCCTCAATTGGGGGAAGCAGCTCATCGTCTTGTCAAGAACACCCTTAATATTAAATTAAATAATGCATCCCATGGATTGTTGGAGCAACCTTATCAGACCAGTCCTGGCCATCAAGCAATGAACAGACACACAGCAGCTGGATCCTCTGGATATGGAAAATATTATGCAGAGGACGCAAGCAGTTATTATGCACATTATAATAATCATCAGGGCTTGATGAGCAGGCCTAGATTTCTGATCTCATCTAATGGGGGACAAAATGACAGACATAATTTTAGGATGCAAGATAGGTCACAGTACCAGGAACAGTTCCATAACATGAAAACAGGGTTTTCTGCAATGACAATGGAGGAAGGCGTGAGATCTAGATCATCTACCATTGTTTCATGCAAGCCACCTGCAATGTTATCGAGAGCGCCTAGTTCAGGGTCAGCATCCAATCTACAGCATGCACAGAACATGGGGCCTCCAATACCACCTCCAAAATGGATTATTCATAAAGCACCCACTGTGAATGGAATACATAGCAGACATCATGAAGCTGCGCAAGGCATAACTTCTGATAAGCAAATGAAGAAAGTTTACCAAGTTAAAACACGTCATACCCAAAATATGCCAGAGCAAGGAGATCGATAGTGATTGGTGTGGATCTTGTTTTGCCTGTGTTTTGGCCGCATTGGCCTTCCTCTCTGCTTTTTTCAAATTGGAGATCGCAATATATTGGTCCCCCAAGTTCGTTGACCTTTTTTCTTTTCTAATCTGGGTACTTTGAATTTGGTGGCCCCGGGCATTAATCTTATGACAATACAAATGCAGAGCAACAGGTGATGGAAATATCCTGAACGCTGATTTTCACAGCTACAGCGCTGCTCCGCTCTACTAGTGAGGTGCTCCCTTGATGCTGGACCAGGCTACACTGAGTACACCCGGTGAAAGCAAGAGCACTCATATTGGTGGTTTTTTTCTTGCCCCCCCCCCCCAACTCTTCATTTCAGCAAATGATATTTATGCCGGTTTCATAGGCGGATGGGAAAAGTTAATTGGCTTGTGTGCTCGTTATGTGGGCCACAGCATGACAGTAGGGTAGTGCACTGTATATGTAAAACCCCTTAGGACTTTTTTTGGGGGGGGGGGGTAGGACTGAAATTTGCTTATATAGGATTATACTGGTGCGAATAGCATCCCGTTGTAGTTCTCAGCCGCAGATGTAAATGTTGGTTCCGTCGTAGTTGGGGGTGGGGAGCGGGGACACACTGTTGGTAGCCGAATGTAGTATGTGCCGCAGGCAACTGGTAGGATCCTTGCTCGAAACTAAGACTCAGCTGCCCAAATTGCCAGTTGGGCTGATTTCTTTCTTTTCGCACATTTTCAGGGTCATTTATGTTTACGGGCTTTAGTGAGGGCGCTTGTTCCGAAGGATAGGAGTTTGATACGTACCAAAAAACAAAAAAAAAAAAAAGAGAGTTTGAAAGAATAAAAGAAAATTTAAATTAGATATCCCGGGGCGGGGGTGTGCAATCCATGAACAGTAATTCATGATGGATAAAAAAGGGGGTTGATTTCATGATCTTATGAACACTAAAAGACTCAAACTGAATTTATAATAGATTACATTTTATCGAAATCTTTAGCTAATAGTATATTTGTTTTAATGACTTGCCCCCATTTTTTTTGTTTTGCTATTATTAAAAAATATGTTAGTGAACTTTTAATTATTTTTTGAAATAAAAACCTATATAAAATCACCTGTAGCTTTACCTTTTCATGATTCCATTCCATATGCATCAAATATAGCAAAATAGTTGGTAAAGTCACTTAATGGGTACGAAATTTTTTTTACTAAGTTTAATTTAAAAAATAAAAAGATAATTTTCTAGTCTTTTAACTTTCAACTCATTCATAATTCATTCTTTTAGGTGTGTGTTAGAAAGATGAGAGACTGACTTGTAAACGAGTCAAAAGTTTAGAGATTAAATCATAATAAGTTATAGCTAAGAACTTGAGTTATTAGTTAATTAAAAGTTAACAAACTAAAGATTAATTTTTCCAATTAAAAAAGTGAAGTTAAAAGGTTTTAATCATTTTTTTGTTACTCTTTTATCTAACATCTTTTTTTCAATCAAAATTTTATGACCCCTTTTTCAATTTTTTTAATTAAGCCCATTAAAGTTTGTGCTCAGCTCCAATTCCATTATACCGTAGGGTTAAGGCTTGGGGCCTTGAAGTGCCTGCTCCACTGAGGAGAGATGCAGGGCCAAGAATTGGCTATGAATATTGGTTTACTTTTCTATCCCGGGTGCCTGCCCATGAACTCATTAACTATTGCTTCGGATCTCCCTGGGTTTGTTTAATGTTTACATGCCAACTTGGGATCCAAACAAAAATTTGACAAATCACCGTGCCCTTATCCCCAAATGTTGCCTGGTGTCCATGTAACAATATTTTTTTTTAAGTAAATAAATAAAGATTTACATGGAGCATTTGCTTTCCCACCTCTATCCCCACCTGTTATCAACGAGTTCCTAACTTCATAAACCCACGGTCAGGCCCAAAAAACCCATGAACCATCATCAAGAACTTCAAACAGCTTTGTACCCACAAGACAACTGAAAGAATTCCGTAAGGCCGATATAAGCATTCCAACAGAAATGCAATACTAAAGACAAGTCGCTCTTTAAGAATATCCAGCACTCAGTTTAACAGCAGCGTAACTTGAATTTAAAGCTGGAGTGAGTCTATGAAGGAAGTAATAAGGTAACAAAACATATCATATCAGGACGCAGTAGTGAGGCGACACATACAGAAATAGGACAAACGGACGCCTGAATCTGCTAACTAATCATCGCACAAAGTCGCAATAGGGAATAAACAATCTATCGTTACGATAATGCGCCTTTACGGGAAGGCAAAACTTCTTTTGTAGAGCAGGCAAGACTTCTTTTTTTTCCCTTGTTTTTTTCCCTCTATTAGAAACAGTAAAATATTTCTGAACAGAGTCAGATCATGAGAAGCTATGCACGAAATCAGAGTCCATCATGAAAAGTGAATACGTGCAATGTCCATAAGTTGACCTTCTTCACTTGCTCAACTCGAGGAAGAAAATTTTCCGTCAGCCCAAGGCTAAGGAATAGATTGCTTCCCATCAGGCGACACATCCACCTTTTTCCCACCAGAATAATAGCAGTATCTTTTGGATTAGGAAATCCGATCTAAAATTAGATTAAAATATGCTGCTGTCCAACAAATAACAATAGTACAAAAAGCAAACCCCAAAGACCTGGCACTACATGCAACTCTGATAAGCAACTCCTCCGGAGTTCTGACACAAGAAAAAGAGTGAATCTTTCCGTAAGAATGTTCCACTATACAACACTCACTAGCGCATCCTTTACAGTTTACACTACATCATATGATACGATGGTATCACTTTACAATACATCGATAATGTAGTTATAAGATTATAAGGATCAACAATATTCTACAGTAAGCTGACATTTTATTAGACAAACGTTCTATAAAATCAGCAAAAGATAGATTTAAAAAAAAAAAAAAAGGAAAGAAAAATACTAGCTAAACTATCAACCCATTGATAAATTACCAAGCAAATCTTTATGGACTAAACACAGACATGAAAAGGGACAGGAACACAATCACTCACAATAAAAACACCATTAAATTAAAAGCCTTGGTCATCGTCCAGTGGATCGCAACTCCTCCAACGCAGCCTTGATCTGATCCTGCACCAACTCCAGCCGCTTCGAGTACACCTCCAACTCCAGAATTTGTTGCCTCCTCCACTTCTCATCTACCGTCTCTCCACTGCTGTAATTCAGGGATGGCACACCGAAGCTCAGTGGCATAGGATTTAATGCCAATCCTCCAAACCCCCTGGCCCCAAATGGGCCACCCATCGCACTATTCAGTACGTCCTTGAACAGGGGCGACAAACAGCTCCTCACCGTCTCCTCAATCAAGCCTGGTATTATATGGTTATCGTTGTAAATATTATTACTAGTATTAGCATTATTATTACTAATACAATAATTATCCCTGTTTGACGCCAATCCATCATTCAAGTCGCGCTTCTCATCGGATCTGATCCCGGATCGAGACCGTGACCGCTTCCGGGACGATGGCGTTCTCTTCTCCGCAGGAATCCCGATTATTACCTCATTCTTGGACTGTGAGAGGCTAAAATTAGGGTTAGGGTTAGGGTTGGGGCTGATTTCGTCGTCATCCAACGCGGTATCTTCGGCAGCTGCGCCGGTTGAACCCAAATTACTCCAGATCTTGCGAGAAATTTCGAAGGTGGCCTGATCGTGAGGGCTCTTAAAGGACAATTCTTTGCCGGCGCTAATCTTATTCAAAACATTGCGGTATTTCTTCTTCAGCCTTCGGAGCTTCTCAACAAGCTGGTTTTTGTTGAAGTCGAGCTGAAGCTTGGACTTGATTTGGTCGTAAAACAAGGCGGTATCATTGTGGTGGGAGGATCCACGCTGTGTGGTGTAGTCAAGGAAGCCCTGCAAGAGCTCGATCTCGTCCTCATCGGTCCAAAGGCGTTGAAAAAGTCTGCGAGAATCGTCCAGGGGCTTTTTCTCTTCGCTGGAGTCAATTCGCTGACGCTTGGGATCGACGGTGTCAGGGACGACAATTGTGGTAGCGGTGGTCGAGGGAATTGGGGCAGGAGCGCCGTTGGAGACAGTAGAACTGGGCACGGCGACAGTAACGGTGGCGGAAGGGCCGGGGAGGGTAGGGGCGAGCGCAGAAGAGGTGGAAGGAGAAGCTTCGCGATCTTCATCGTCCTCAGGTTCACCAAGAACGTCGTCGTCGTCGTCGTCGTCTTCTTGAGACTCGTCGTCTTCGTCGTCAAGGTCCTCTTCGGGGAAAACGGCGTCGTGTTGATCGGATGCCATGGGGAAGAGAAGAGGTGGTGGGGCTGGGGGGATTTGATTTTGGTAAGCGTGGTTTAGTGGCGTTGGGGTAATGTTATGCGGAAGGGGCGAGTGAGGAGGGTGAGCTGGCTGGTGCTCTGGCGTGATGGCATTGGAGCCACATTGGATGACGACGCCATCCCTGTGCTGGGCGTGCTAGTTTAGGTAGTGCATTCCCCCAACCAAACCCAACCCACTTTCTCCGTTATCCCCGCCTTTATTTCATTTCATTTCATTTACTTTGTACTCTTCCCAACTTATGTATGTCGTCTTCCTTTTTTTTTTTTTATCACGTCTTTTGATGGGCAGCGTGTTAATTCTGTTTTTTCAATCATCAATTTTTAGATCAAAACAAGGAAAGCTTTTTATTTATTCTTTTTTTAAGTGATGAATTACCGGTCGCTACCCATATTGATGCGATTTTCAGAAAATAGAAGGAACTCTGGGAAAGAAATTATTTCATTTCGGTAGAATGCAAGCCAAGTTGGCTAACAGAAGAATGCAGTTAATTATCCAGCTGGAAGGTGAAACGTGAGGTCTAAAACGTTGAAACCCAACGGATCACCGCCAAACGCCTCCGCCTCGTGCTCTGTTCGGCCCAAAAAGTAGAAAACGCATCCCAAATTGACTACCCAGTGCCCAATGGGCTCCGCATGCACAACCGGTCGGCGGACATCTTCACATGATTGTTGTTTCTTGTTGCAACTGTCAACATTTCAATGCGCTTCCCATTCTCTTTCGCCAAGTTTCACCCATCACCCATGCTCTGAAAGAAATCATTTCCAGATCAACTTTAGGGGAGTATTTGCAAAAAATACATTTATTCTACCGTTGCATGAAAAATATTCCTACCTCCTGTACTTAATATAAGACCTTTTTTTATTTTTTATTTTAGTCTCAAATATAAGACCCCAATCCACTTTATCTCTCATATTTATGTATTTTTTTCTAAGGTAGTTCTAACCAATATACTCCTTCAGTCCTTAATATAAACTCTATTTAACTAATTTAATTATGTTAAGGAAGTTAGATAAATTAGTTAATTATAAAAAACATGACATATTTTTCCTAAAACATCATAATCATCTTCCTTAATATCTTACATGCCTCTCCTACTTGGTTGTAGTTGAGGAAGTATAGGGATAATTTAAGAAAAATTGATGAATATGAGAAATAGATCTTATATTTAGGACCAAAATCAATTTAACAATTAGATCATATATTAAGAACTAGAGGAGTACTTGATTAGCAAGAATATTTTAGAAAAAACAACACATTTATTACAAATAACTAACTTAATTTATTTTTTTGGTCTACTCAAATTAATCAGCTAGTTCTTATAATTAGGACCAGAGGCAGTATTATTTGAAATATGCTTATATCATATTATATGTGGATTTTTATCATCACCAATGAAAATATCTCTCCAATTTTCACCGCCAAATTAATGTGAGGATTGGACTGTTTGGGAGACTTACCCCAAGTCTGGTGAATTCTCAGGACTTCCTACACATGAATTTACTCTCCAACAAAAAACAGATGCTTTGTTCATTATCATAGTTCTGTTTCGTTATAATAAGCCTCATACGTAAATTTTTAAATTGTTAAGAAAGGATATCACTGATAATATCCATAAAATGTTACATAACACTGCCCAAAGGATTAAAAGTAGATAAAACTAAACGGAAGGGTCCCTGGTTGAGAGATGGCTTGGGAAATACTAATACAATTAACAGGGGTTGATAGCGGACAAAGTGAAGTATTATGTCAGCTTTGTCGCGAGGCGACGAATATTGGAGTTGAAGGGTCACGTAGTTCTTTGAACCTAGTGCCTTTAACTGAAGAGGGGAGTCAGTGCCTTGAAGGAACGGGAGAAGCAGGGGACTTCAGCGCTACAACTGTTTTGGATGCGTTTGGCTTCATTGCAGTATCAGACAGCGGCTATATAATCTTTTCTAGCACGCAATGTAAAGCTGGTCCGAGTAAAGTTGCTTGTTTGCTACGTCTCAATCACCCGGGACACTTTAGTATAACAAGATTTGGACTGTGACCCTGACACACACTAAATAAATATGTTGGGAAATTCTCCACGCACCTCACTATCCGTGGACCGTGGTTAAAAAAACAAAGCAGCTTGTATTATACTATTCACAAGTAGCCATTTCTTAGTGTATGCTGCGTAGTTTTGAAAAATGTGACATATAAAACGCAGCAACTTCGAACCTGCACTATCTTTGCCTCAGGAATTATTAGTACACGAGCGGAGTCCAGTTGGCGACTACCTCAGATACTTCCAACTCTTGGCAAACCGTTATATATATTTCGTGAAATCGAAGATTCATGAAACAGGGATTTGTCAGAAACAGAAACTCACCTTGAGGAACTGTAAGGTGTTTTCATAGTTTAGAAGGAAAACAATCAGTAAAGAGGGAACTTGGCTTTAGTCTTCTCAAAGACTTGTTCTGCAATGACGGCACCGCTGCCATCAGCCTTCTTGATCTCCAAGTGAGCTTTCTGATGAATACCGGTTCCCCTCAGTGCATCTGCAATGAAGTCATCGAATCCAATTGCTATTGCAGCTTCTGCTTCGGCTCCATACACCAACCTCTGTTTCAGCACAACAAACAAGACAAATTTTGAACTTGTATTCTCTTTCTTTTCAACGCATTCTTTTCCTCAAGTAAAACTTGACATTTGAAATGAAATTAGGAGAACTTTCACCTTAATTCTTGACAGATGAATTGCTCCAAAGCACATTGGACAAGGTTCACATGACGCATATATTTCACAGTCAGAAAGCTCGATTTTATTTAACGTTCTACAGGCCTACAGATCAAGTCATTTTTAAATTGAACTATTGAATGAATGCCAAGACGAAGCATATACGAAGAGAGGACAAAGAAAGAAAAACTGGCATTATATGCATGAATAAATGGAACCCAAATCCTGTCTATGAGCACAGATAAACAGAATTATGAATAGGTATAAAGAGGATAGGGTAGCAATGATTATTAGTCAGACCTCTCTTATAGCAGTAACCTCAGCGTGAGCGGTAGGGTCAGTGTTTCTTAAAACCAAATTATGACAGCTTACAACAACTTCATCATTTCGAACAACAACAGCACCAAATGGACCTCCATCGCCACATTCGACCCCTTTATATGCTTCTTCCACTGCTTTTGTTAAGAACTTGTGGTCTCTATCCTGTACAGCTGATTTGACAGGACAAGATAACACTCATAACTTCAGGGAATAAAATGTCTGGCAGTAAATAGCCAGCCCCTCTAACTTCCTAAGTGACACTACTTTTGAGAGAGAATGATCTGTGTGGATAAAGCAGCAAGATAGATTTTTCAATCCACTAATTTAGGAAACAATTCTTCAATGGATCCGGATCAAGCAGAGAATGTAATTCCCTGAATAACAACAAATGACGCAATTTTGAGGGCTGGTATTGTAAGTATATGTTGCCTATGGATGCAACACTGTAATTAAATTCATACATATATACATCTTGAATAAAATATTTAAGCCAAAGCAGATGTGGAAAGAAATAAGAGAATACCTTAATATCTATAAAAGATAAAAAGAAACAAAACATATACCTTGGGCATAATAGATTTTGATCTCTACAGATAAGCATAAAAGAGAGGTACTAAAAAGTTGGTAGCAAAACATTACTTTCTTTCTTCTCGCTTAAATCAAGTAAACAGAGAAACGCACAAACCTAGATCATCAGTAAACAGAGACAAGAGCCCCTCTGTGTATGTGCGTGTGTGTAGCCTTCGTGACTCAATGTATCAAAGAGTAATAGCCGTTCACTTTCCTCGCACATTCGTTAATCTAAATAATACATTTATAAGATGGAGGACCTTTTCCAAGCATAATCAGCTGAATGTTAAAATATATATCGATATCTAATACACAGACACGGTTTTGACTAAGTAATTATATCTATTTAAAACAACAAACTATAATTATATTATGATCTTTCATATTTTGCGATTTTCATGCCCATTATATCTATCATAAACTAGATTTTAACAACTTTGCGTCTATCCCGTAACGTTAATATAACGGTCACACATTAAGATGTCATAAAATTTAACTAATATGAGATGCAATTTTTCATTTTTCCCGGTAAATAGATGCATGAAAATTGAGGATACCTTCTTGGAAACCGGCAAATGCAGAAGCCACAGAAATCGCTCCTTCTTTAGCTTCCACTACTATGATCGAAAACAAGAAAAGAGGAAGTGAAGACTGTAAAATTCTTCCAACCAGAAAATTAACAATGTATTGTCATATAATAGTTATATAGATATTGAAAATTACAGCGGATAACTGATGATGAAGAAGAATGGTTAAAAAGTATATAATACTCCATCGGTCAGATTTTATGATACGGATCTTCATATGATAACACAAACAAATAAGAAACAAATGTACATAACAAGCCGTAACTCAGGAATAGTCCCCCCCCCCCCCGGACCAGCAGGAATAGTTAGATTTTGTCCCTTCCCAAACATCCGATAAAACTGGAAGAGTCGTTAAATTTTACTTTGCAGAAAAATCCACGGACTTTAAGCCTCAGAGTAGATACACCGATTAAAAAAGCACCTATTTTTCATAGTCATGTGACTGGATGCGTTTGGATTTGCAAATCCAGATGGCATTTGTGTTTTGAATCGGTTCAGTATTGAATGGTCTTCGCGTTGTTACTTATAGCAGTTTCTGCTCTGATCTCCATCCTAATACAGTTCCTTTATCAACCATCATCACACTTCGACTGGGTTCTCAGCCATATTAAAGCACTTCCTGCTTTGGAAACACACAGGAAAGACATGCAATCGACTCGACCGAAGGACATTTTCTTTAACAGGTTGAGAATATTGATACAAATTATAACAGAGAAAACAAAAACAAGGTTAAACCGGCGATGATTAACGAGAAATTTACCATTGGCAGCAGCCGCAGCAGCAGTATTATCTTCCATGAATGTATAAGAGGACAAAGGAGAGAATCTAGCGAATAGGTATTCGAGAAACAGATGGAAGCCAGCGGGGTAAAGGAAAGGAACGAAAAGAGGAGGAGGGGAAAACAGAACCACGAATTGTACAGATGAAAGCGAGAAAAGACTGAGCCAGAAGCCAAAAAGGAAACGGGAAAGAAAAAGACGTGATGCGTTATATATTTATTATATTATTTTGGACCAATGGCGAGTCACATTTCGACTTTCCTTGTTATCCTGCCACACCAGATTGCCGGGAATTCTCTCGTGATATTCTTAATTCTTTTTTAGCAGGATATTCTTAATTCTTTTGAGTAGGGCTGTTCACTAAACGGATCGGGATCGGACAGGCCTATCCCGGTTCCGTCCCGATAAACAGTAACGAACAGATTTTCTGTCCCGTGTCTCAGTCCGTTCCGGGGTTATTCCAGTCCAGCCTCCAAGTCGGGACGGGACGTCCTGAAAATATTTTTTTAATTTTTAATTTTTTTATAAAAAAATGATTTTTTTAATTATATTTTTTTGAACTTAAATCTTATAAAAATATCTTTTTATTTGTTTGGGTACTCTTAAACAAAAGCTCAAAATATTACATATAATAGTCATTTAAAAACTCTAAACAAAAGCTTTTAACACAATAAAAACTTGCTAAAAATTCTAATCATTAATAATCTCAAATCATTAACAAATATAAAAACTTTAAATAAATATATCTATAGTTCCATACAATAATCTCAAATCTTAAAAAAATATGAAAAAAAATGATATTATATAAATAAGATAAAAAATTAAAAAAAAAAGAATCGGGATGGGACGACCCCGTCCCTTGTCCCGTCCCGTTACGGTCCCTTTTTTGTCCCGTCTCGGTTTGTCCCGTCCTGAAAAATTTCGGGACCGATCCGTCCCGTTCTAATAAGATCGGGACCGGAACGGGCCGACCGGGACGGACCGGCCTTGAACACCCCTACTTTTGACCTGATCAAAATGCGTTTTTAGTCTTTCATGCTCAATCAGTACTAAAACATTCGGTTAAAAAAAGTAACATTATGACAAAAAACATTTTATTAAATGCATTCATTCCTTGCTATTTTTAAAGAGGCAGAATCGTATTCAATATTTTTATATATTTTTTTTAACATAAAGACTACTTTAAAAAAATAATTAAATATGAAAGATGTATGAATTAAAATTTTATATTTAAAATTAAATTAAATTTTCACATACTTTTTATAGTTAGATTGAAGGTAGCACGTACTGTGATTAGAAAACCAAGGCTCATGGGTTGGGCTGCATCTCCAACAGAAAAGAGAAGCCGAAAAGGGGTTCAGCCCATCACACAGTCTCCTAAAGAAGCAAGTGTGCTCCCCCTTCTAAGCGGGATCAGATCCGAAGACCCCAAAAGAGGATCCGTCACATCGCGCTTCAATCATTCCATGACATCCCAGCCCTCCTACTGTCAGGAGGTTTTATGGATTCTGCACTATTTAAAAATAATAAGAAGTGGAAAAAAGCACTATTTCAGAACACTTCCATTTACTAGTCGGTGTCGTTTTTATTTTTGGAAAGTTCTTTAGAGCTCTTCTCCAGAGAAACCTTTTTTCATTTTGGGTTTCACTGCATTTCCCAGTTGTTGTGTTATTTTTTAAATTAGAAAGGCAGATATTAACAAATTAAGGTTATAAGTGAGAAACCCAATACGCCCGTATTTATATGAAAGTTTTTACGGTATCCTATTACTATTTCTACTTGTAAGTCATTTATAAGGGGGAAAAATTTGTCCTAAATATAAGTCACTAGTAGAAAAATTAATAATTTTTTTAATTTTACTCTTATTAATTTAATACATGCGAAAGAGATAAAATAAATAGGCGAGATAAAATATAAAAATATCTCTTCTTATAATTTACGTGACTTGGAGACAGAAAAACCGATTCATGGGGTTGAGAAAGTTAAACGTAAAACGTGGGTGTAGTGTCCAATTTAATGAAATGCTGACAGTGATGTGAATAATTCTAAAGAGTAAGAACAAATAAATTAATGAATAAAATTTTTATGGAAGAACGCTAGCAGGAGTGAGGTGACATAATGCAATGGAAATCCAACTGCTTTGATTTTTGCCAATAACATCGAAGAGGATGCTATGGTGGGTCATAGCGCGCGATTCGTGTTTTCCTCTTATTCTCGACATCTTTCTTTCTCTTCTGAAAACGACTGCATCACACGTGATTGAGGTTTGAGGGACAACAAAGCAGAGCAAGAGGTTGAGAAACCGTCTCGTGTGTTCTGGCCCCATCAGGGATTGACTCACACCAATTTCACATTTTCGTAGATCGACGTCTACAAATCATTCACACATCAAACCATAAAAGTTATATTTTTAAATTTAGATTTGAGACCAAAACAACAAGCGCTCTCTTACGTACGTACGTACGTACGTAAATTTACAAACGGTCGATTCCTATTCCTGGGTGTGGAAAGAAAAGGGAGAGAAATGATTGGCTGTGCCATTTTTTTTATAAAATTAATAACATTATAATAAGAAAACTTTTAGATGAGCAAAAGGCTGGCAGCCAATCACACACTTGATTCAGTGTATCGTCCCTTGAAGATCTTACACACGGTATGTCATTCACTATTGTCGGCATGATCCCTCCACAGAGTTTATTGTTTCTAAATCACTTTATCTCGGAAGGAAAGAGTCTATGTAAGGTATTTTATATCCATGAAAGAATCTATGTTTTATACGTCGACAGCATCGACTGGGAGGGAAACTGTCCTGCGTAGAGAGGGAGGAAGCAATGACCCTGCATACGAACTCTTTGTATTAACCACACCTTCTTCACCAGTGAAACCCATCGCCTCACAAGTTCGGGCCATTTGGGTGTCCGAATTGGGGCGGCTCATATTGACAATAGAACGGCAACTCCAATTGTTAGTAAAGGATTTTGAGTGAATCTCTTGGTTGCCTGTGTTTAATGCGTCTCTCGGCGAAAGGGACAATGACATACTATATTGTCGATCCCTGAGTTCCCTTAACTCGATTTGATAGGCTGCTCTGAGCCATCTGAGTTCCTGTTGAATCTCTTTCCCACCCCTGTCCTCAAGGTCAACACACAGTGAACGAATTGTAGATAAGTAATGGAATCTTGATAGATTTGATAGACAATTTCTTGAGTTGGGTGTAATTTCACTTTCCCTGACAACCTCTCCCTTGTCTTCTGCTGATGCTTGTTTATCTACTGGTTCATTTTGTTCATTAGAATGGCTGCGTTCAGAATCTACAGGAGTGATCTCGCAACTTTCAGGTTGTTTCCACAACTCCTGATATTGGGTTGATGTGTTTGGAGCATCCTCTCTAACACGATCTTCATACTCAGACTGGAACATGATCTCCTCAAACCGCCCATGCGTTGAAGCACTACAACATGGAAGAAGTTGCGAGTTCTTGGCACCTGAAGTATGTGGCAGAAAATTCATGGAGCCACTTGATGTATGATTCGATGCACAATTGTGACAATGCTTTTGATTTGCGAAGCGAGGAGTTTCCTCAATCCCTGGTCCCGGCCTCCATTCAGGCACCAGGGAGACTATTTCCCCATCTATCATATCTGCTATTCTGGTCACATCTTGATCAGTAATATCAAGTTCTGCAACCATTTCAGTTGCCACACTTAGTGCTGTGTCCATCTCTATGTCAAACGGGAAATGAATATTTCGGACACGACCTGCAATACAGGAAGTCTGGCTAAGTTTAAATCGAGTAATGAAATATGCAGCAGGTATATGCCATATATCGAAACAAAATTAGAGCATGTGACATTTCAACCTTCTTTATCCGCAATTCTTAGTCTCAAAAAGATGCCACCGTCATCTTTCCTCCGGCCTTTGATGCTTATGTCAACATCTTCAGCTGGATCGTCATCGCGATGCTCAAAAAGTTCGATTCCACTTGGTTCAGTATCAACTGGATGAGAATACCAGTATCCTGGAGCGTCATATCCATAATAATTTGAGTATTCACCGCTTACGTTGCTATAACTGCGGTGAAGATCTAAGAATGGATGACGGCCAAAAGGGCCCAAGTCATCAAATTCTCTACTATCTACTAGTGTCGAATTATAGAAGTTATCATCAATTTGGAGAAACGGGTCATCAAGAAGCTCCCTTGCTGAGAGTCTTAAAGACACTGTTGCCAAGCATTTCTCAACAAATTGTCGCACTTCCGGATCTTTAACTTTATACAAAGCATCTGGCTTTTTCCCCTGGAGATATAAAATGTCAATGAGTTATAGCCAATCCGAATAAACAAGTCTCATTTCACTTAGAAAGAAAACCTCTTACAGATATAACTTTCTTGTAGATTTGAGCCGGATGACTGCACTCGCTGTAAGGATATTCAAATGTCACCATCTCTAATATGCACATTCCAAAGGAATATACGTCAACTAATTCATTATATGCCTCTTCATATACTTCTGGGGCCATAAACTCAGGTGTTCCTGTGAAAAATAGACAGTAGCAAATAAGACTCAATCCATAATTACTCATCCCTGCTCCAGTCAACCCTCCCTTTTATATTAAAAGCAACAGCCACGCTATAAATAATTTCCAAAATCAAACATTAACTAACTATCAACGGTGTCAGATTGTTTTTTGATACCCTCTAGTTGTGATATACACTGACATGAGATATAGACATACCGACACAATGAGCAGCGAGGGATTTTTTGAGAATTGCTGCCAGGCCAAGATCCCCAATCTTCACTTCCCCTTGGTTTCCATTAATAAAAATGTTATCGCATTTGAGATCTCTGTGGATCACAGGTGGGTCGTGGCTATGAAGATACAGAAGTCCTCTCAATATTTGTCTACACCAATGCTTCACTGCTCTGATGTTTACTCTCTTGTGCTTTAGCCTGTACCTGTTCCGTCGTTGAAAGAAGTATGTAAAAGAAGAAATAATACAGATCTCAAAATCACATAAAATATGAAGTGGAAGGAAGTAATGAAGAGGGAAGAAAATCGCTGGAAATCCGAAGGACTTACTGTCTGAGTGTACCAGATGTAAACATTTCAGTGACGAAGTTGATATTTCTATTGGCAGTGTCAACCCAAGAAGTGTAAAATTTCATAATGTTTTTGTGTTTCAGCGTTTTGAGAAGATGAATTTCACAGTAGAGCCGCTCAAGTTCTTCAGGGCTTTGAAGGAAATCATACAGCTTGACTTGGTTCCATGCAACTTCAATCCCTTGATACTCATCAAATGCTCTATATCTGCATTAATTGAGGAGCCAAACCGCAAAATCAATGAAATTCGCATTTCTACAAACTAGAAAATCACGGAACAGATCAAATTCGGAGGGAATCTCCAGAAAACAATCAACTCGAGCGCTTCCAAAAAAAAAAAACTTCAAATAAAATTATCAGATGCGGAGTCCGAACTGAGTTTAGATTCATACACTATCTTCGAAGCTCCTTTGCCGAGGATTTCATTGTACTGCAACAAACAAAGAAAATAGCATCATCAAACTGAGCGAAGCAAGGGAGAAAGAGGGGAAGAGGAACAGCGCCATACTCTGCCGTATCTGCCAGTAGGATCAACTTCGACGAACTCAGAGTAATCCGGTTCTAGGTGTGCGACACCATTCATTCTCTAATCTAATTTGAGCTCCTTTTGCTCTGTTATGATCAGGTCGAGTTTTTGGTTATGGATTCTGCCTTTGCAATTCTGACACAGGAACAGAGGAGAGGAGGCCGAAAGAGGGAAGGAGGGGGGGGGAGAGGAATAACGTTTATTTTCACAAGAAAAAGATAATGCTTTTTTGTAAACTTTAGGAGACATAAAAAATTGGAAAAAAAACAGAGAGAGAATCAAATCAAAGAAAGGTAGAAAGGTTGTCAAATAATTGACGAGAGAAGCAGAGGAGAGGGCATTCTGAGGGGTAAGGAAACAGAGGAGCCGTCCCGAGGACAAATGGAGAAAGAAGAGGAGTCTTGCCTGGCCTGAACATCCGAGGGAGGGCTATAAGAACCAAAAACAGCGAACAAGCACGGGACCCATATGTCCGACCAGCAACATGAGACTGCATTCCAGCCTCGTATCTCATGTCTGAATCCTAATGGCCGCTGATTCTTATTGTTTAACCGTAGTCATAAATCATAAGCACGTTCCCAGCGCCAGATCCATTTTTGAGAGATGAACTAAGGTGAGTTCGTATGCACTACTGATGACATTGAGAAATGAGAATAAAATGGAAAAACCCATCTCATTTATGAATAGAATGAATAAGATAATTAATATAATAATAAAAATACTTAGATTATGTGTCTTTTTTTATGTGAGCCTATAATAATTAAGTGATAATAGTAGTATTTCAAAACTAAGATACTACTTAATCACGTGTGCTGATCGGAAAACTTGATATGTAATAAATTTAAAAAATAAGTGCTGCACATATGATGATATGAGATAAGAAATAACAAATTAGTTAAGTTTTCAGACATCTTTAAAATATATATTATGATTATCCCAGAGCAAAACTTGTATTTCGTGTATGTAGGACCGAAGAGAGCATAATTATATTGCTTCCGGTTCTAATTATAAGAGCCAGTTGACTAATTTGAAGAGATTAAAAAAGTAATTTGAGTTAGTTATTTATCCTAAATAAGTGTTGTTTTTCCTAAAATATCCTTGCTAATCAAATATATTGACTAGAACTCTTATTATTAGAAGGGCTATTTTAGAAAAGAAATATATAAATATAAGAGACAAAGTGATTGAGATCTTATATTTAAGACCAAAATAAAAACCAGACAGGTCTTATATTAATGATTGGAAGCAATACTATATCTTTGACATCGGATGCCGTGTCCATCTTTGACTCAAGAGCATTGTCATCTATGCACTGCATGCGTTTTTTTAAAGCATGACTCCAAATTCCATATCAGAATAAATAAACTTTTAACGTGGACAAGAAAAAATATAAAGGAAATACGTACATAAACTTTCTCTATATTTATTATTTATTATGTTAAGTTTTTTAATAATATAGAACTAAACATCCTATTTTTATATAGATTTATAGTCGAGTCATTTTAAAAATAGGACACATACATAATCATATATGATTCAAGAATCTGACATGCAATAAATTTGATCTAGCATGATATGTTTCATATTTGTATACTTAAAAAAATTACTTGAATGACGTAACTTAGAAAGTGAATCATTATTTGCAAGTTGCAACTTAATCAGTTACCCAACCTATGCAGGGCAAAGGATACAGGCGTACCTAATGCTATGAGATTAGAAATCCATCTGTAATTAAACAAGTATATATTCCTCCGATCCTTAATATAAGACCCATTTAACTAATTTGATTAGATTAAATAAGTTAGGTAAATTAGTTAATTATAAGAAAAGTGACACATTTTTCCTAAAACACCATAATCATCTTTCTTAATACCCCATATTCCTCTTCTACTTGATTATAGTTGAGGGAGTATTCATAAGGATAATTTAGAGAAAATTGATAAATATGATAAATGGGTCTTATATTTAGGACCAAAATGAACTCAAAATTGGGTCTTATATTAAGAACCGGAAGAGTATAATATTGTTCCTTTAAAGTCCATGGTCCTGCGCCTTCAGAATTGAAGGGGATATTAAATAAGATACACGGGAGCACAACTTGCACACGTCATGTGAGAAATGTCTTTTGGATTTTTCAATAGATGGAATAATTAAAAATTATTATTAAATAATAATGACAAAAGCATGACCATTAATTAAAATATTTAGATTCCATGTCATACAAAAGTACTCCTCCGATTCTTAATATAAGACTTAATTATTAAATTGGTTTTAGTTTTAAATATAAGACCCATTTGTCATTTTTATCAATTTTCTCTAAATTACCCATATGGATATTCCCTCAACCATAATCAAGTAGAAAGGGAGGGGGTATTAAGAAAGATGTTTATGATGTTTTAAAAAAACATGTCGCATTTTCTATAATTAACTAATTTACCTAATTTTCTTAATCTAATCAAATTAGTTAAATGAGTCTTATATTAAGGATCGGAAAAGTAATTTCTTCCTAAATAAGAGCACTAAACAAGTTAGTGCATGTTTGGATACTCAACAATTCATGTAAAAAAATAACGTTGAGAGAACTCAATTGTTAGAACTTGCATTGAAAAACCCAAATTTTGAGCAGCAAAACTCGCAATTTCTAATTCCCTCTTCTTCTTCTTTAATAATATACAACTCAATATTTCTAATTCTGATTTGTGCCTCACCAGCACCAGTCAAAATAAGATCAGGCGCGCATGATTAAAAGGGCCACACAGCAAACTACGGACTACTTGGTGGTAAAATAAGGGGGATTTGAAACAAACAAGAACGGGCAGTTTTGTCATTACACATTGATTACCGGACTTAATTTTTCTTTTCGTCGAATACGGGTATGCGGGAAAAAGGCTTTCCCCAATACGGTAAAAAGACTGCGATTTGAATATCGGTATTATGTCAACCGAACATGAGGCGTGCGCGCGACGTTGGTTCACATTTTGATGGAAGGATTGCCGAGAACCAAACATAGGCTGTGTTTGGGTAACACCTCAAAGTCATGGTTTGAGGACCCAAACCATGGTTTGGGGAATAAATCACCTAAACATCTCCTCCAAAAACCAAAACCATGGTTTTAGAAAAAGCAAAATTTTTTTGCTTTTGGAGAAAAAAGGAGAGTGTGAGGGCCTATATGATATATCTTGTTATTTTTTTATAAACATAATTTTTATATATTTAATCTTATATTTTATAAATATATATACACATTAATTATTTATTACTTATATTATCTTATGTATTATTAATTATGTTGGTAAAAAACATATTATTAACAATTTTATTTCTTCAAATTAAAATATATCATAAAATTTATTTTTTCTGTAATTATCATATTAACTTATGTCTTTTTTTTAGTAATTTATATATATAAAAAGTGCTTCTGATAACAACTATTCAAACACTCTCACTTCTCAGAATCACTTTTTTACAAAAGCTATTTTTCACAGAATCTATTTTTCCCATAATCTATTCTCCAGAATTACTTTTCCAAACCACGGTTTGGTTTCATCCAAACACACCCATAAACTAGTTAACCTGCCAAAGAAAACGAGAAAACAATCATTAAAAAGTGGTAAATAATACTACTTCCGGTTCTTAATATAAGGCCCTGTTTGACTTTTATTTTGGTTCTAAATATAAGATTTCAATCCACGTTGTCTCTCATATTTACTCAATTTTTTTCTAAGATAATCCTTCTAATAATTATAGTTCTAGTTAATACACTTGATTAGTAAGAATATTTTAGGAAAAATAACACCTATTTAGGACAAATAACTAACTCAACTTACTTCTTTAATCTCCTCAAATTAATTAACTGGCTCTTATAATTGGGACCGGAGGTAGTAAATGATAGTGAAAAAATTATAAATGCATTTTTTTTATATATGTTTCATATAACACATACATCTAGTTATTTTTAAAAGGAAAAAGGTCTCTGAATTTTAAATATGATATCTATGTGTTTTTTTCATCCCAATTGAGTCATTTGATTTTATTTTTTAATAACAATAACTCTCATAGCTTTCTTCTGCTAGTATTTTTAGTCTCTATGTAATAGTTAATGATATTAATAAAACAAAATTAAAAATTTAATTAAGAAAAAAACACATAAGTGTCAAATTGAAAATTAAAAAAAATATAGGTATCTCCAATATGGTTTTATCTTTTTAAAAACTATCCATCACATGATTATGTAGAGTAATATTTTATATAATTTTATAATTTATAATCATTATTTGTATTTACACGATTGAAGACTGAGAGGGAAATATAATGCATTATATTCAAATGAATGATGACTGCAGTTTCTAAATATTTCTCATTTGTACGGTGGCGATAAAAATAGTTCTAATTTGTGCATTGTAATGGATTTCAGACCTGTATTGCTTTTTAAAAACTGAAAAAAAAAAACAACAAACAAGTATTGATACAAATATTCAGTCTGGTGGGACGTTATTGTCGTGACATAAAACAGCAACGATGAGTCGAAGATGCCGCGAGCTTTTTTTTTTTGGGGGGGGGGGTTTCCGTGAAATGCCGTACATCAGAAGGGTTGGGCAAAAAAGAAAGAAAAAGAAAAGGACGACCAAACAATGCAGAGAAATATAAAAGTGTTTTTTTTTTTTTTTGGAGGGGGGTGTTTCAAGATGGATGAATGGTTATTGGTTAGCGAATGACGGGGTATCTATGTTATTACCTATTATGGCTCACCAAAAGCCAACCTGCTCATAATTGTAGTTGATTAAAACGAAGGAACATGTGCTGGACGCGCCAAACGACGCCAACGCGCGTGCGCATACCTTCTCCATTTTCTTCCTCGTGACCATGTGGATTCACCTGTGCATCTCAAACCCAAAATCATGGGGTTCCTCTCCACAAACTACATGCAATGCACCTTTTACCTAATCCTGGGAAACCTCAACCCTGTTGCACTATATATTTCCCCCAATAAACAATATCTTAATACTTCTATGATTTTATTTACAGCACACCTTCAAGCTGGTTTTTTTTTTTTATAAAAAAAAGCACACTTTCAGGTTTCAAAACATTTTATTAAAATAGGGAAAAAATAAATCTTACTAATTTTATTTTAAAATTTAATAAATTTTCAATTCTGCTGTTATTTGATATATACGAATTAAGAAAGGAACAGTTTTTTTGTTTTTTGATGAACAGAAAGTAAAAGTTAATTAAGAGTAAAATTATAAACTCATGTAATAGGGTCAATGAGGTAGCTTGTTTCTGGAGTGCAAAATAGCATTTGTTGAAGATCACAGGCATATCGTATTTCTGTAAATGAAAACACAGTTCACACACTTTAATAAAACTCTTCCATGGCAGAGTAAAATAGAGGGGTGTGGGTGATGAGGGCAAAGGGACATGTGTGGTGTTGGGAGCGTAGGGTGCAATGACTGCCAAATAAGGGCACACAGATACACGAGGTGGGATCCTAAATACGCACCTCTTCGCCCCCAATGCTTCTCATCAGGAGAGGGATACAAACACAAAATGGTTATATCTAATTAATGTGTTTTAGTTCTATCTCCTGCCCCTGGGCTAAGCTTGCCGAGTTGCAGTCGCTTATCCCAATCTCAAATCAGGAACGACACGGCGACAAATTGGAACACGGGTTTGTTAATTTAAATGGAAGTGAGTGATGTGAGTGCGTGCTGATTACGCTGCAAATTAAAATCACCCACGGAAAAAGAGTACGAACAGAAGCGGACGGAGGAGGTGTACGAATCAGGGAACTAATGTGTCCCCACCACCATTAACCAGCACATCAGAAGATACGAGGCTGTGTGGTGGTGATGCCCCTGTCTCTGCCCTTCTCGATCGTGTGTTGTAGGGATGTTTGTGCTCAAGTGTGGGGCCGGCCAGCCTCCTCCATCACCTGCTGCCACCATCTAATATCTTGTGGATGCTGTGGTTTCATTGTGTGCGCCTGTCTCTCCCTGTGAAGTTTGGCCTTCCACGTGACGAGCCTGGCTGGTGGCCTTCTTTTCAGGCTCATTCATTTTCCTATATCACATATATTTCCCAAACGATAAGAATCACCCCCTTCTCTGCCTTTACGTCAACAGGATATAATAATAAATTTGTTTGCCGTGGTGGTTTTTGACACTGAATTGCCCCTCTCCGTTTTCTACGTGACCTTCTTCAATCAGTGAGTGAATCATGACGGTGAGGAACTTCAATTTTCTCCTCGCTCCCTTTCCCACTATTGACGCGGACATGCAATACCACACTTCTTTCCCTACGCCGGCCTCAGTCGAAGCGCGCCCCAATAATTTCCTATATCAATTAAATTTAGGAAAGAGACGCTGTTCCAGACTTCCAATCATGGGGTATATGTTCAATATATTGATATTTCTGTGGAATAAAAAGAAAACCTCAAATCACACTACTTGTAAGTTACGAATGGCCTTTTTTTGTGGAATATACATGCTAAATTAACATGCTGATATTCGGTACACCATAATCATTGCGTCTAAACTCTACAGATGAAAGATGCAATGAAATACTTGTAAGAAAAAACTGTTGCAACGCCATGAGTGGCGTGAAAGGCCAACGTATAAGATAAAAACTAAAAGGGTAAATAGTGACAAATTTGGGGCCGAGAACTGGCCATCCACTGTCCCAAACGAGCCAGTAGTGGTGATCCAAAATCCAAATCTTCCGTGTTCCGACTGCTGAAGGCTTCTAGAAAGTCAAGGGCATGCAAAGGATCAGTCAAAAGAGAACAACAATGGACCATAAAAAAAGATGATTAGGTAATTGATCAAGTTGCATGGCCCATTATTTTGTTTTCTAGCTGGTTTATGTATAATGCGGGCATTTTCTGATGGTATGTTTCCACAGGTACACCGCCAGAATCAGAACATATCCGTTAAATTACATTATAAACAAAAATTTTGCAATACTTCAATTCCTCCCTATCACATTTGATTGCGTACCAAAGCATCCCTTTCGTGCGAAAATGATGTTTCGAGTGTGGAAAACCCTTAAAAATTATTTAGTTTGTTTAATGTTTAAATTGAGAGGCTTTGATGTTAGAAAATCAATTAAACAGAAAAAGTAATACTTTAGAGACTCAATGGAAAAGCTTTATGATCAAGTCGGGAGAAAAGCATGTCTTAATAAGTCCTTATCTGGGGCATAAAGTTACGATAAAGATCAAGAGAGACGGGTGGACCATATTAAATTTAAGACAACTAAATAACAAAGTGATGGAGCATGGCACCATCCAAAAGATGAAAGGCGGCTGCCCAGCTTTGAAAATCAAGTTGATTCCCATCCATGCAGGGACGCATACAGCATCTACTGTAATTTTATATAAATCACTTATTCCTTCTCTTTCGAGACAATGCAAAGCGCATTATCTATTAATTAATTAATACATAACAGACATCATGCTGCATGCTCTCGTGCTTTTTATTCACAGCTATTCTTATAATTTTTTTAAATATTATACCATCCATTTTCGTTTATTTTATTTTCAAAGTTCACTTTGTTAAAAAAGTGAGGACAAAGTGACAGGCTAGAGAAATAATGAAATACTACCTCTGATTCTAATTATAAGAGCTAGTTAACTAATTTAACAAAATTAAAAAAATAAGTCAAATTAGTTATTTGTAATAAATAGGTGTTGTCTTTCCTAAAATATCCTTACTAATTAAGTATATTAGCTAGAACTACCATTATTAGAATGACTAACTTGAAAAAAATACATAAATATGATAGACAAAGTGAATTGAGGTCTCATATTTATGATTAAAATAAAAATCAAATAATATCTTATATTCAGAATCGGAGGTAATATGACTTTATTTTGATGCGAAGGACGGAAATAGCCTTTAAAAACAAAAGTGACACGGGTTTTAACTATTGGCCCAAAATGTCCGGCTGTAATCGGGCTATATGGCCCAGTACCGATTTGCCCGCTCCAGCCAATTTAGCATGCGAGTTCTTCTAAACAAAAATTTTTCCGATGCATGACGTGGTTTTGTAGAGGGGAGAAGAAAAAGAAAGAGAGAATGATTGATTCAATTAAAATGCATGCAAAGGGTTTACTTATCACAGGGAGGAATTTTGCAAAAAGTTCACTCATTTAGACCCTGTTTGGCAGAGCAGTGAAAATCTCTCATAAACACGTTTCATGTAAGTTGAGATAAAACTCCTCTCACGTACTTGCCTTGTATTTCGTAAATCATTATTAAAAAGTTATTTATAAACTACTTATAAGCTGGTTCTCAAAACAACAAGCCAAGAGTCACTGAATTTGACGATTTGTTCCCTGAATTGAGCCAGATTTATTATGTTTTCTTAATCGCTGACACTAGTGCTGTCAATAAGAGTTTCTCATTTTGTCCTTGATTTCTCTGTTTTCTGTCACTGCATCATTTCCATTGCTAAATTATTATTATTATTATTATTTAAGCTAAAAGCTAAAAAGTTCAGATCTGAAGCCAAAACTAGGTCGATATGCAAATTTGTGTTGACCCCCCCTTTTTCCCCAATATCAACCAACTAGATCGAGAACACAAACGAAAGAAGAAATCGAATCTTGAAGACGGCACACTAAAAGAAGCCGGAGGGAAAACAAAATGAAATGAAAAGGGGGAGGAGAAATAAAGAGAGGCGGGCCGAAGAGGGGATCAATCTCTGGCCAATTCGTGCTGAAAAGCCTTGGAAAGGAAGCTACCTTGTTCAAGAACAACAATGAGGGGAGAGCCACTGATGCCACGAGCAAGAGCATTCATAATCTCGGTCATGAAGGACTTGAACTCGTTGCCGTCCAGCCATCCATTTCGGTCTTCATCAAACCTCTCGAAGACCGATCTGCAGAGCCCATCAATCTCAGCCTTTTCTCGGGGATAGTAACCTAATGGCAATAACTTGCGGAATACGCCGCGAACATCGTCCTGCGAAAGCACTCCGTCGCCGTCTTCATCAAGCACCGCAAGCCATTCCCGCGCGAATTTATCAAACGTGTTCTTGTCATCCACAAACTCCGTGATCGTCGAGCAACTGACAACGGCAATGCTCATTGTTGGGGTTTGGAATTCAGATTGGCATCCGAATGCCTTCGGCTATAGAGTATCAGGCATTGCGTCCTCACACTCTTCTTATATATGCTCAAAAACTACTAACGCCCGAAACGCTGGCCTTTCCAACGCTTCAACCATATAATTTGACTTTTAACAAAATTATGATTTATGAATATCAATATCACATCGACCGACGACCACTCTGTAACCAACCTCACCCTTTTTCTCTGGCCACTCCCGAAACTTGTTACTTTACACAAGAATCGAATTTCTTAGCAACTACTCCATGTAGCTTTATTTCTAGTATTCTTTCTTTCATTCTCTTTTTGTAACACATGCTCGTGATGTGGCCTACAAATATTTCTGGCCTTTGAATTTTATAAAAGTTTTATTTTTGTATTTTAATCCAAAAAACATATCATATTTTTAATTTATTTGGTCCATGACAACGATATTTTCCCTTTAGTCATTTTAACTCGTTCCGTACATATGCACCTAGTAAAAAAATGTGTATACAGTGACATTCATTTTATTTATGACTTAAACGAAAGAAAAGGAAAAAAAATTGTCAATACATCAGCAACGTAACATCAAGTTAAATTGTTCACATCATACGGCATTTGGATTTTGGATGCAAATTTAACAAAATTTCCAGCGAAAGCCTCCTTGTTAATTTGCCTAACATGATTCAAGGTACTACTACAGAACTATGAAACAAAAATGTTTGAATGAATCTAAAATGTTATAGCATGTCATATTTGCTGGTAAAAAAAAAAGCATATAATATTTTGTTCACAAGTAATGATTAATATGACTTAATTTCTCATCAAATTCTACGCAAGACAGAAATTGAATCCTCAACTGAGAAATGTACATGCACACAAACATATATTTGAGAAAAAGAAACAGTTCTGCTGTATGCGTATAGTAAGGGTGTGTTTGGATTAACAGTCGTAGAAGTAATTTTTTTTCAATCTGATTGAGTAAAGTCAGATAGTGTAATGTGATTTATATTTGGATTGAATTTTATAAAAAAATCAGTTTGAGAAATTGAAATTTATTTGGATGATAAATGAAAAAGTAAGTTTGAATGCAACATAACTTAAACGAACATAAATTTTATTAAGTACTACATATCTAATATTATATATATATATATATAATATGACCATTTGAAAAGAAGTAAGGAAAATAAAATTATTAAAAATAAAGAAATTTAATTTATCATTAGAAAGAAATTATATATATAATGTAACCATTTTAAAAGAAGGAAAATAAAATTACTAAAAATAAAGAAATTAAATTTATTATTAGAAAGAAATCATATAGATAATGTAACCATTTTAAAAAAAAGTAAGGAAAATAAAATTACTAAAAAAAATTAAATTTATTATTAGAAAGAAATTATATATAATGAAGATGTTGGGGAGGCCTCTGTTCTATTTTTTATCTCAAACGATTGTATCTTGTTTTCTCTTACATCAGGAAAGATAAAATACATGCAGGAATGTCAGAGTAGATAACAAATTTTAAAATCCAATTACTACTCCAACGGTATCAATAAACGCCTTGGAAACTGGAAAAAAGCAGCTTAAAATAACTTTTTGCAGAAGTCTATTTGAAGACCAAAACCCAGGTTTGTAAAATGTGGGCCTAAACATGTTTTTTCCTCCCACCCACCTACAACTTCTTCGGTTGGGATGCACGTTTGGGGCCCAAACGGCATCCCAAACACGCTCGAAGTAAGTTGAGGATTGGATTGTTGTTGATGGGGTCAGAAGGCTGTGCAGAGAAGAGCTAGAAAGAACAGAAGAGCGGCGAGTGCCAGGAATAACGAGATTGGGGAGCAAGCCTTCCATGCCCAAAACATTGACATTGCCTGCCCCTCACTTCTGTTGGCGACATCCGACTGCCATCAACAGACCCAGATAAATAAATAAGATCATGCAGGCCACGTAAATTCTATAAAACTGAAAGGATTATAGTCTTCATGATCACAAACTCTCACCACAAGAGGTTTCAGCAACTCTGCGCTATCTCTGGCCAATTCGTGGTGAACAGCCTTGGAAAGGAAGCTGCCTTGTTCAAGAACAACAACGAGGGGAGAGCCACTGATGCCACGAGCAAGAGCATTCATAATCTCGGTCATGAAGGACTTGAACTCGTTGCCATCCAGCCATCCATTTCGGTCTTCATCAAACCTCTCGAATACCGATCTGCAGAGCCCATCAATCTCGTCCTTTTCTCGGGGATAGTAACCTAATGGCAATAACTTGCGGAATCCGCCGCGAACATCGTCTGGCGAAAGCACTCCATCGCCATCTTCATCAAGCACCGCAAGCCATTCCCGCACGAATTTATCAAACGTGTTCTTGTCATCCACAAACTTCGTGATCGTGGAGCTATTCACAACCGCAACGTTCATTGTTTGGGTTTGGAATTCAGATTTGATGGTTCCAATGCTTCGAAATGCCTTCGTCTATAGAGTATCAGGTATTGCGTCCTCACTCTCTCCTTTTATATGCTTCAAAACTTCTAACGCCCGAAACGCTGGCCTTTCCAACACTCCAACCATATAATTTGACTTTTAACAAAATTATGATTTATGAATATCAACATCACATCGACCACTATGTAACCAACTTCACCTTTTTTCTCCGGCCACTGTACTCCCAAAACTTGTTACTTTACACAAGAATCGAATTTCTTAGCAACTACTCCACGTCGCTTTATTTCTAGTATTCTTTCTTTCATTCTCTTTTTGTAACACGTTAGTGATGTGGCCTGCAAATATTTCTGGCCTTTGAATTTTATAAAAGTTTTATTTTTGTATTTTAATCCAATATCATACTTTTTGTTTACTTGGTCTGTGACAACTCATTTTAACACCTAGTATTTTTTTTTTTAAAAAAATTTCTATGCCGTGATATTCATTTTGGGCTTGTTTGGAGCTCTGTTCAAAATGAATTTTTAAACAAGTTCACATAAGTTAAAATAAAATTCTCTTTGTATACTTACGTCGTATCTCGTAAATTATATTTGAAAAGCTACTTATAAGTCAATCTAAACAAACTTTTTATTTATGACTTAATCGAAAGAAAAGGAAAATTTTTTGTCAATGTATCGACAACGTAACATAAGGTTAAATTGTTCACATCATATGGCATTTGGATTTTGGATGCAACGTGCGTTTTGGTAAATTTAACAAAATTTCCAGCGAAAGCGTCCTTGTTAACATGATTCGAGGTACTACAGAACTATGAAACAAAAAATGTTTGAATGCATCTAAAATGTTAAATTTATATAGCATATCATATTTTGTTCACAAGTAATGATTAATATGACTTAATTTCTCATCAGATTCTGCACAAGACATAAATTGAATCCTCAACTGGGAAATGTACATGCACACAAACATATATTTTGAAAAAAGAAATGGTTCTGCTATATGCGTATAGTTACTGGGAATACGACAAGCGATGAAATAAGTTGAGGATTGGATTGTTGTTGATGGGGTCAGAAGGCTGTGCAGAGAAGAGCTATGAGAAATAGAAGAGCGGCAAGTGCCAGGAATAAAAAGATTGTGGAGCAAGCCTTCCATAACCAAAACATTGGCATTGCGTGCCCCTCACTTCTGCTGGCGGCATCCGACTGCCATCAACAGACCCAAATAAATAAATAAGATCATGCAGGCCGCGTAAATTCTATAAAACTGATTGTCAAGGATTATAGTCTTCATGATCACAAAATCTCACCACAAGAGGTTTCAGCAACTCTGCGCTATCTCTGGGGTATGAGGTTTTCGTCTGATCTGGAAAAGTAATCAAAATTATGGGACACAGTGCAGGTGATGAACCAGATCATAACAGACACGTGCTTGTGTGTTTCATTTCTTGAGTTTCATTCTACATGGTTGCTTTCAATTATGTATGAAAGGGAGGCCATAAGAAAGGGCACTTATTTTGCACCTTGGTCATAACTATCAGGGCTTACGTTGCATTCCTCAGAATCTGCTGCGGGAACATCTCTTGGCCTGCACAGAATGAAGAAGCACAAGCACCAGAACGAAAGGTGAACCTACGGGTCTATTTCTATCAACAGAATAGATATACAATGATCACCGACAAAAGTAGAACATTCGATCCAGCTTCACCTCTCTAGCGCTTCAAATAAAGCTAAGGACGATTAAAGAGAGGAAAGCGAGGGCAAAATTGAAGTAGGCCAACTCTGTCATCATTTAACTAGTGCTGCACCAAAGATTCTTGATCGACAAATTAAAAAGACCTAAAATTGATATGGAAATATCATCACAAAGCAACTCCTACCATAGTTGATTGGAAAAATTAGCAGATTACCCAGTTCTTATATGAAACATTATAAGTATCCATGCGTTTGCTACCCCACCCATGGAAAAGTGATGATGTCCAACTCTGTCTTTCGAGAATTGACAGCCCCTCTTACCACTATATTGTGTTCTCTCTTAAGACATGGGGAAATATCTAAATGCAAGATACTAATAAAATGCTTAGTACATTCAAATAGTGGCCGAATTAAAATTGGTTCGGTTAGCTTCGAGTAGGTAGAAAAGAAAGGCCATGAATAGGTACTCACCAGTCTTGCGATGGCACTGCAGAGATGCTAGAAACCAATGATTTTGTTCTCAGCTGGATATCTTTAAGCATTTTCCATCGATATTCCACATCTTCATCTGTTCTGAAAATTAACTGTACACATGCGTTACCGACTCAAGCAAATATTTCTTCTCTAGTTCTAATGTAAATTGTAAATCTACCAAATCAGCAGGGATCGGTTCTGCCGCTCGAATAACTAATCCTACAGTCTCAGTAGCGCGGCTATCAAATCAAAATATTGACAGCAATGAATCTATTTTCCACCGTAGGAATGAGCCGCTCATAAAATTAGCGCAGAATGTCAATCAATTTGACAAGAAAGACAACTGAAGAATTGTGAGTGAGAGAGAGAATATACAAGATGGGTTTGGCCGGTAGGTTGCGTAATAAGGATTCGAGGCGATCAAGTTTAGCTCCGAGCTCCAATAACTTGGATCGGGCGGAATGTACGGAAGTGGGATGGATGAGACGTTCGTGCTTGATTCTGCTCTCCAAGTCCTCCAACCATCGGGAAGCCTCCTGGGCTTCTCGAAGCCAGGCATCTATTATCAAAGGAATCTTGGACATCTCGAATGATTTAAAAAAGAGAAGCAACAACCTCGGAACAGCACAAACAGCGTGCAGTGTCAGTGTCTAATTAATTATCCATATGCGCTGGGAGCAAAGGAGTGGGTGGTCCTGGACGGCGTTGAGGAGCGGAGCCTCTTGAGACAAGAAATTAATGGAAGCCATAGTGATAATTACCGGCACATGATTGAGCTGCCGATGAGAGAGAGCAGACAGGGGATAAGGTTTTGATTTTGACAGTCACTTGCTTACTCTGTAATATTGTTCGCCATTCGTCAGGAAAGAGAAAATACATGCAAGAATGTCAGAGTAGATAACAAATTTTAAAATCCAATTACTACTCCAACGGCATCAATAAACGCCTTGGAAACTGAAAAAAAGCAGCTCAAAAGTAACTTTTTACAGAAGTCTATTTGAAGAACAAAACCCAGGTTTATAAAATGTGGCCCTAAACATGTTTTTTCCTCTCACCTACAACTTCAGTTGGGATGCACGTTTGGGACCCACACGGCATCCCAAACACGCTCGAAGCAAGTTGAGGATCGGATTGTTGTTGATGGGGTCAGAAGGCTGTGCGGAGAAGAGTTAGAAAAAACAGAAGAGTGGCGAGTGCCAGGAATAACGAGATTGGGGAGCAAGCCTTCCATGCCCAAAACATTGACATTGCCTGCCCCTCACTTCTGCTGGCGACATCCGACTGCCATCAACAGACCCAGATAAATAAATAAGATCATGCAGGCCACGTAAATTCTATAGAACTGAAAGGATTATAGTCTTCATGATCACAAAATCTCACCACAAGAGGTTTCAGCAACTCTGCGCTATCTCTGGCCAATTCGTGGTGAACAGCCTTGGAAAGGAAGCTGCCTTGTTCAAGAACAACAACGAGGGGAGAGCCACCGATGCCACGAGCAAGAGCATTCATAATCTCGGTCATGAAGGACTTGAACTCGTTGCCATCCAGCCATCCGTTTTGATCTTCATCAAACCTCTCGAAGACCGATCTGCAGAGCCCATCAATCTCGTCCTTTTCTCGGGGATAGTAACCTAATGGCAATAACTTGCTGAATCCGCCGCGAACATCGTCTGGCGAAAGCACTCCGTCGCCATCTTCATCAAGCAACGCAAGCCGTTCCCGCACGAATTTATCAAACGTGTTCTTGTCATCCACAAACTTCGTGATCGTGGAGCTATTCACAACCGCAACGTTCATTGTTGGGGTTTGGAATTCAGACTTGATAATTCCAATGCTCCGAAATGCCTTCGTCTGTAGAGTATCAGGTATTGCGTCCTCACTCTCTCCTTATATATGCTTCAAAACTTCTAACGCCCGAAAGTCCGAAACGCTGGTCTTTCCAACGCTCCAACCAGATAATTTGACTTTTAACAAAATTATGATTTATGAATATCAAAATCACACCAACCACTCTGTAGCCAACTTCACCTTTTTTCTCTGGCCACTCCCGAAACTTATTACTTTACACAAGAATCGAATTTCTTAGCAACTACTCCACCTCGCTTTATTTCTAGTATTCTTTCTTTCATTCTTTTCTTGTAACACATGTTAGTGATGTGGTCTGCAAATATTTCTGGCCTTTGAATTTTATAAAAGTTTTATTTTTGTATTTTAATCCAATATCATACTTTTTATTTACTTGGTCTATGACAACGATATTTTTCCTTTAGTCATTTTAACTTGTTCCGTGCATATGCACCTTTTTTTTTTTTTTTAATTCTATACAGTGATATTCATTTTAGGCTTGTTTGGAGCTCCGTTTAAAACGAACTTTTAAGCAAGTTCACGTGAGCCAAAACAAAATTCTCTTCATATATTTATCTCGTATCACGTAAATTACATTTGAAAAGCTACTTATAAATCAATCTAAACAAACTTTTTATTTATGACTTGAATGAAAGAAAAGGAAAATTTTTTGTCAATGTATCGACAACGTAACATAAGGTTAAATTGTTCACATCATATGGCATTTGGATTCTGGATGCAACGTGCGTTTTGGTAAATTTAACAAAATTTCCAGCGAAAGCCTCCTTGTTAACATGATTCGAGGTACTACAGAACTATGAAACAAAAAATGTTTGAATGAATCTAAAATGTTAAATTTATATAGCATATCATATTTTGTTCACAAGTAATGATTAATATGACTTAATTTCTCATCAGATTCTGCACAAGACATAAATTGAATCCTCAACTGGGAAATGTACATGCACACAAACATATATTTTGAAAAAAGAAATGGTTCTGCTATATGCGTATAGTTACTGGGAATACGACAAGCGATGAAAGAAGTTGAGGATTGGATTGTTGTTGATGGGGTCAGAAGGCTGTGCAGAGAAGAGCTATGAGAAATAGAAGAGCGGCGAGTGCCAGGAATAAAAAGATTGTGGAGCAAGCCTTCCATACCCAAAACATTGGCATTGCGTGCCCCTCACTTCTGCTGGCGGCATCCGACTGCCATCAACAGACCCAAATAAATAAATAAGATCATGCAGGCCGCGTAAATTCTATAAAACTGATTGTCAAGGATTATAGTCTTCATGATCACAAAATCTCACCACAAGAGGTTTCAGCAACTCTGCACTATCTCTGGGGTATGAGGTTTTCGTCTGATCTGGAAAAGTAATCAAAATTATGGGACACAGTGCAGGTGATGAACCAGATCATAACAAGACACGTGCTTGTGTGTTTCATTTCTTGAGTTTCATTCTACATGGTTGCTTTCAATTATGTATGAAAGGGAGGCCATAAGAAAGGGCACTTATTTTGCACCTTGGTCATAACTATCAGGGCTTACGTTGCATTCCTCAGAATCTGCTGCGGGAACATCTCTTGGCCTGCACAGAATGAAGAAGCACAAGCACCAGAATGAAAGGTGAAACTACGGGTCTATTTCCATCAACAGAATAGATATACAATGATCACCGACAAAAGTAGAACATTCGATCCAGCTTCACCTCTCTAGCGCTTCAAATAAAGCTAAGGACGATTAAAGAGAGGAAAGCGAGGGCAAAATTGAAGTAGGCCAACTCTCTCATCATTTAACTAGGGCTGCACCAAAGATACTTGATCGACAAATTAAAAAGACCTAAAATTGATATGGAAAAATATCATCACAAAGCAACTCCTACCATATTTGATCGGAAAAACTAGCAGATTACCCAGTGCTTGTATGAAACATTCTAAGTATCCATGCGTTGGTTACCCCACCCATGGAAAAGTGATGATGTCCAACTCTGTCTTTCGAGAATTGACAGCCCCTCTTACCACTATTGTGTTCTCTCTAAGACATGGGGAAATATCTAAATGCAAGATACTAAGAAAATGCTTAGTACATGCAAATAGTGGCTGAATTAAAATTGGTTCGGTTAGCTTCGAGTAGGTAGAAAAGAAAGGCCATGAATAGGTACTCACCAGTCTTGCGATGGCACTGCAGAGATGCTAGAAACCAATGATTTTGTTCTCAGCTGGATATCTTTAAGCATTTTCCATCGATATTCCACATCTTCATCTGTTCTGAAAATTAACTGTACACATGCGTTACCGACTCAAGCAAATATTTCTTCTCTAGTTCTAATGTAAATTGTAAATCTACCAAATCAGCAGGGATCGGTTCTGCCGCTCGAATAACTAATCCTACAGTCTCAGTAGCGCGGCTATCAAATCAAAATATTGACAGCAATGAATCTATTTTCCACCGTAGGAATGAGCCGCTCATAAAATTAGCGCAGAATGTCAATCAATTTGATAAGAAAGACAACTGAAGAATTGTGAGTGAGAGAGAGAATATACAAGATGGGTTTGGCCGGTAGGTTGCGTAATAAGGATTCGAGGCGATCAAGTTTAGCTCCGAGCTCCAATAACTTGGATCGGGCGGAATGTACGGAAGTGGGATGGATGAGACGTTCGTGCTTGATTCTGCTCTCCAAGTCCTCCAACCATCGGGAAGCCTCCTGGGCTTCTCGAAGCCAGGCATCTATTATCAAAGGAATCTTGGACATCTCGAATGATTTAAAAAAGAGAAGCAACAACCTCGGAACAGCACAAACAGCGTGCAGTGTCAGTGTCTAATTAATTATCCATATGCGCTGGGAGCAAAGGAGTGGGTGGTCCTGGACGGTGTTGAGGAGCGGAGCCTCTTGAGACAAGAAATTAATGGAAGCCATAGTGATAATTACCGGCACATGATTGAGCTGCCGATGAGAGAGAGCAGACAGGGGATAAGGTTTTGATTTTGACAGTCACTTGTTTACTCTGTAATATTGTTCGCCATTCGTCATTAGATTTGCCTCAAATCATTATCACGCCCCTTAGCTTTAATCCCACTCCAAACTAAAGTCGGCCTTTCCATTTCGGCGGGGAAGCCACGTTGACGTCCTTCACTCCCTCCCTTAGCGCCGCTTTTTAGTTTTTATGCTTTGAAGAAATAGAGGAAAGAAGCTTGAAAAAAAAAAAACAAAAGCATGGCGACGAAATTTCTTCATAAGGATCATATTATATTTTATTCAACGAAAACCAATAATATTTCAAGACTGTTAACAAATAGCAGTTCAACCACTAAAAACTGAGTCGATGTCTCGCGGGGTTTTTGAAACTGAAATCTGATCATTTATGAAAATTCTGTCAACGAACTAAATGTAATTTTTTAAGCGTTCTTTTTCTCGGGATGCAATTCTGTTAATGAACCATGATTATTTGAATGTAATTTTGCTTTGTCACAACTCGTAGGCTTTCTACTGCTTATGATGCCAACCCTAAACCGGTGATGAACGGCCATATTAAAAAATTTGTGTATTCCTCCCATATGATATCTATTTCGTGATCATGTGACGCAAATGGTGCAACTGGTATAAATTTTTTATGCATGGAGTGAGCATTCTTGTCCATGCTTGTGGTAGTGAGTGCCTTTGTCAACATTTTAGTTCTGAAATGAACAGCACACATGGACGCGGTCACGAAGGGGTGTCACCTGATAAACTCTTGCCAGACTCTTCACTTCAAACCTCGTGGTAAAACAAGTCGTGCTATACTAAGGCTACGTTGAGTATGAAATATTGAAAATAAAAGATAAAGATTGGGATTGGGGTTAAAAACATGTGTTAAAAATATGTTTAGTATGAGTAATTTCTTATCACATAGAATTAGGTAATCCCATATAGACAGGATTGAAGAATACCACCTTCTCTTATAGTATTCTCTAATCCCACATATATGGATTTGTCTAATCCCAGATATCATATAATTACTCATACTAAATACCCTTTTAATGTAGTTTTAGATTTTCAATGTCAATCTCTATTCTTCATTTTTAATACTTTGCAGCAAACAGGACCTCAGAAACCAATCCTGTTCAATATGCAGAGATAACTGAAATAGGCTTTATTTCTCTCAGCAAAGCCCTTTTCCATGCATAATCCTTACGAATATTCTATGTTGCCTGAATTCCTATTCGACTGATATAATGGGAGAAGGGCTGTGAGGGGAAAAGTCCAAGTACATTTTAGAGCTGGCCGGTAGTTAATTAGATCATATTTATCCATAGGAAAAGGGATCAAATGCAAAACCCAACAGCTAGCGCTGCAACCCCCTGTTTTTTTTGTTTTTTTATTAGGCGTAGTTAATGGGCAATCGGCTCACTCAATAAGCACAGTTTGGACATGAAGGGCTTGGGCCTCAAACAATGCGTTGGTTGGAGTGATAAAAATTTAACAAACGAACAGGATCAGATAGGCATGTGATCGAGCAGTCATGATGATTGGAATTGGGACCCCGCGCTTTGTTTTGTTTGGAGGGCCCACAGCTACATAAGCTGGTGGAGACATGTTTTTCAGGGGAAAGCTAAGAATTCAACAAAAGGGAAAAGAGAGAAGGTGACAAAAAGTGAAAGGCATTTTTGGGGTATCGTGTAGAAATATCTAAGGCATTTCCCCGTTTGAAATGAGATGATTATGGCTTTCTTTGAAATAATGGTGAAAATTTCTTATAGACATGTTGCACGTAAGTCGAATTAACTCTTCTTACATACTGGTTTTATATTTAGTAAATCATAATTAAAAAACTATTTATAAATTGTTTTAAATGTGTTCAATGATATTGAAGCACGGGACAAATGAAGCATCCATTATTGTGCCATGAGATGAAATAATGTTACATAGTAACTTTTCTTTTCTTTTTTTTTTTTAAAGAAAATAGATGAATAGTGAGGAGGGGCGTGATGTGCGGATGAAAGTGCCGTGCTGGGCAGCACTGTCCTGTGCCTGCACCTCACAACATGTCATCATCTCTTATTTTCTCCCCATCCCTCGCAATTAAAATCCTTTCTCAGGGGGAAAACACGCACACCTTGGTTCGCCCACCTGGGAATCCTTTCTGCAATTTATTTCGAGTGTTTGGGAGTTTCTAGAAGCATTTTATAGAATTATTTTCATGCAAGCGGAGACATACTTTTTTTAATATATTTATTTTGGATTCTATAAAATTATTTCTAAAACTGTAGTTTGGTTTTGAGGAAAATCGTAAAAAAAAAACAGTTGAAATTGACAAATTACATATAAGGACTAGCTCAAAAAAATTGTTATTAAAACTCATACTATTGTTGTCACAACACATATTAGTATTATAACAGGTTCCTATTTACAATTTTTCTATTTCAGTGATATTTTTTTATGATTTTTTCTTGGTTCTATCTAAACATGATTTATCAAAAATACTTTTAAAAATTGCTTTCATACTAGTTGAAAAGAAATTTTTCTTGCATACTTATTTTGTATATCGTAAAATCATTTTTTAAACCCACAAACACTCACTTATCTGATTCTTCACGTTTCAGCAATTCTAATAATAAAGGGCGTTAGCCTTCATCTTCTCCCCCAAAAAGGGGGCAACTTTTACATGAATTTTCACCATAACTGACGGAGTGCCTGTTTCATTTACAAAATATATTAAAGGAATATTTTAGGATGATGAAATGTAATTCGACTATGATACGTTTGTCATTCCAGTTAGTATTTCGTATTTTATTGCCGTTCACTGCTTAATGTGAATGATTGTGGTTTGTGGGCATCATTCCTTAAATATGGGCTTATATTAAAGAAGATTGCAAAACTCCTAATGATAAATATGGTTAATGACGATAAATACAAACATAAATATAATACTCCTCCAGTCTTTAATATAAGACTCATTTAATTAATTTGATTAGATTAAGAAAGTTAGGTAAGTTAGTTAATTATAAGAAAAGTGACACATTTTTTCTAAAATACCATAATCATCTTTCTTAATATCCTCTCTCCCTCTTCTACTTGATTATGGTTGATGAAATATCTATAAGGGTAATTTAGAGAAAATTGATAAATATGAGAAATATATCTTATATTTAGAACAAAAACCAACTTAACAATTAGGTCCTATATTAAGAACAGAAAGAGTAGTCAGTAAATAGAAGTCAGAATAATCCCAGGTTGGCCATCATTCTTTCCTCCAATTTGAAGGCAAGGGTGGGGACATGAGTGAAGAAAGGCATATTATCATTGAGATGGGGGATCCAGGTGGCAGACAGCTGGCTGAATTGGCCAGAAAGGGGATTGTCTAGCATTTATTTCCCTCGCACCGCATGTGCCCAGCCCATTTTGCCCTTTGCAATTGCTTTCCTTTTCCTACTCGCCCCTCGCCGCTTTCTTATTTTGTTCCTTCCTGTGTTCCTCATCACCCCCAACTCTTTCTCATCCTCAACCTCAAATGACCCTTTTATCCCCTCTAACGGTCACTCTTTCTTTCATCCTTTTCCCTCCAACGATCACTTTGTTTAGCTCCCTCCGCACCCCGCATTCCGACAGACTAATCACTCCCCGACACGTAAGGACACTTGTGTAATTCCACTCCCACTCCGAGGTTCTTTCCGTAATTTGAATATTACTGTTATAAACAATAAGAACAGAGCGACGCCGGGAACAACAAGAGCTTCGATATCACGCCATAATATTCTGCGATTGATTTTGCTGTATGTATAGAACTGAGTCATGGGCGACTCAAGCCGTTCTACTTTCATTGACATTGATTTGATACCTTTAGGAGGAAAGGTAATTCATCAACATCCTACAATCATATTCTTTCCTCGGCCTCTCTGTTTTTTTGTCCTTCATGATATGATTCCATTGTGTTTTATAAGAAAACTGGCATTTATGGCTCTGCTTTTGGAGTTTTTCAGCAATTCATGGTGAAAACTAGCAAAGGTTCTATCTCTGTATTGGTTTGCGGAGACCAAGAGAAGCCTGCTCTAATCACTTATCCAGACGTAGCTCTCAATTGTATTTATCTTCAATACTATCTCATTTTTTCCCAATATTCTGAGCCGCGTTTTATCATTTGGACGCATTCAAACTCAGTCAGGATATGTTGACAATATGTTGGTCTTTTAACTCGCTAGTGCCTGAAGAGGCTCATGTATTTCTTTTGCAGATATCTCCTGTTTTCAGGGTCTGTTCTTCTGCCCAGATGCTTCTTCTTTGCTGCTTCACAACTTCTGCATTTATCACATTGATGCTCCTGGGCACGAGGTCGCTATCACGTTTCTAATAAATGTTTCTTTCAAGGCATTGATGTGTGTGTGTTTATCTTCTAGTTGTTATTATAAACAGCCTTGAAGATCAATCTATGCAAGAAATCGGATAAATCCTTCTTCCATGTTGTGTATGGTAGCTAACGAGGACCTTTGCTGAACATTAATTAGCTGGGCTTGCTTGAGTTCGCAGCTAGGGCGTCAAAAAGTTGGGGGAGTGGAGCTCATGATTTGATGAAATACTGATCATGAAGTAAATTTCAGATCATAAAGAGAATAAGAGCGTTGTATATCGTTACGCGCATAGTTGCCTCCTATTTGATGGTTAATGGAACATAAAATGTTTCATTTTTTCCTAATATAATTTATCCTTTACCCATAAAATTTTTTTCTCCGGGTGAAACTGTGGTAGCTTAGAGTATACTCATATATCTAACAATATGACCCAAGTGATAGGCAGTCCACTGAATCTAATAGACTCGTTCTCATTTGCTCAAGAGTCCTTGCAGCTGGGAGCTGATATGATTCCTTCGGACGAACCATTGCTCAGTGTGGATGACCTTGCAGACCAGGTCGTAGAAGTGCTTGATTTCTTCGGGTATGTCGCCTTTGCTCTTTCTGTGCCTCGATAGGCACCCATTAGGTATTGTTTTTTAACACAGGACACTGCATTATTGTATGTGAAAGGAAAAACTTGGATCTCTATAGCAACTTCATCCTTTAACATGTTAGCCTAATTGAGGGTAAGAGATTAAGCATATATGTTGATTGCTAGTCATCAAGATGAAGATTCTATGGTATCATATGTGCAAATTGATATAGTGATGATACCAAATGATAGGCGGTCACTTGGCAGGTGATATTTCCTAGTAATTTGAACAACAAAAGCAAATGGATGTACCTCCTTGGAATACTCGCTTGCATTATGTCTTTCTTTAATCTGAGTCTACGACTTTCTGGTTCTTGTACCAGGCTGAGAGAGGTTTTATGCTTGGGTATAACAGCTGGTGCTTACGTCCTCACGCTATTTGCCGTAAGTTGGCAAATATTGGTTCTAACTTTTCTTTCATAGTAATCTAATGTAATAAATCCTCATGCAATATCCCACTCTTGGCAGATGAAATACAAAGAACGGGTGCTTGGCTTGATTCTTGTTTCGCCTCTTTGCAGAGCACCTTCATGGACCGAATGGCTTTACAATAAGGTTTTAATCTTCGTCAGCTTAGGCTTCGTTACACGTAACTGCATAAGGAATTTACAGCTAGCTTAAGGCAATGAAATAGGTCAAGTCAATGTCATCCTCGCAACAGGTTTATTGAAGTTGTATCTGCAATTTTATATCTCCAACGATGCAGGTTTTAAAGAATTTACTATACTTCTATGGCATGTGTGGTTTATTGAAGGAATGCCTTCTGCAGCGTTACTTCAGCAAGGTAAACTTCCTTGTCTACGGGAGAAATTGGGAGGAAGAGTGGCAGCATTATGTAACATCTCTTTTGTACGTTTCTTTTAGGAACTTAGAGACGGTGTGGAGGGAGCAGAGCCAGACATGATACTAACTTGCCGAAGGGTATGAATATCAGAATATCACAATTTGAGTAACTACTGATACACGTAGGCATTTGGCATCGAAATATAATTGAAGTTGTTGGGAACGAGAGTCCTGTGGATGAGCAGGCCTGACTGACAAGTGGACTTTCTTTTGATTTATGATTGCAGCTTCTGGATGAAAGGCAAAGTTTGAATGTCATGCGTTTTCTTCTAGCCATTAATAAGTAAGTTGTTATTGTTGTTTTGAGGAACGTGTTTTTCTGTTCACACCTTTTATTAACAAAGAAAAGGCTTTTAACACACAGTAGGCATGACCTCACTGAGGGTCTCAAGAACTTGCGGTGTAAGACGCTCATATTTGCGGGGGCAAGTAGTCCGTTTCATGCTGAATCTGTGCACATGAGCGCAAAAATGGACAAGAAGGCCTGCGCCCTTGTTGAGGTAGGCAAAGGCTAAGTAATCCATTCACTGTGATCTGTTACTGCATAGCAATATCGTTCTAACGATAAAGATTAGAAAACCAATCACAACCTTTCATAATATTACTGAGACACAGAAAGAAATGAAGTGATTGTGCGGTGGTGTTTATTTTTTTAGGTCAAGGCTTGCGGGTCATTGGTGACAGAAGAGCAACCATATGCCATGATAATTCCGCTCGAGTCATTTTTAATGGAATTTGGGTACCACAGAGAACCAATATTTGCTTCATGCCCGTCGTCAACCACTGGGTCTAGCCCGGCTAGCCGAATAGCGCCAGAACTCCTCTCCCCTAAGAGTCTGGGGATTAAGCTCAAGCCTATCAGAACCAGAATGAATATTGAAATCTAATCTAAGATTTGCACATAATATAGAAGATAACTAGTTTAGCGCATTCTTTGGTAGGTCCTAACACCTACATGTAATTATGTGTCGTTAGAGGCAGTAACGTCACCCTCTGGAAAGCCATTCTTTCTTCTGGTTATCTTATCAACTTCCATTTTTATTCCAACTGAAGAAGGGCCACACTGCCATTATTTTCTACCGGCAAAATTTGTATGTTCTTTGAAGAACTCATTCAATGTCATCAGCATTGGGCTGGTTGGGCCAAGTCGAGGTTAAACTCATTGTTATCAAAATGGTGTGTTTCATCCGCGTACAGGGGCGCTTTAGGGAAAAATGTTTACAGGCAAGCAGGATGCAAATAAGTGCCGCTCATTACGCCCACAAAATAATTAATTAAATTTGAAAATAGCTTCTTCTTTCTTTCTTTCTTCTCTGTTTTTATTTTCCCCTGGACAACGAAAGGGTTGATTCATTGGCCTTTGATATCGTGAAGTAGCCGAGTTAGTTAACATTTGAAAGATGAAGAATGATGAGTACGCCTTGCGTCTAAACTTCACCCGATCACATCCAAGATCTTACTTGTAACTGTGTCTGGCACTGACAAAAATTTGCAGGAGAAACGACAAAGATAGATGTTGGTACAGCCGCACAGCAACAAATATGAATTTGCAGTATTGTATTCAGCTACAACAGAGTGTAAGCAAGCAAGACGTTCGAATTTAAAACCCTCACGCTCCTTTTCTTTTCCTCCACATACGCGTTCATATAAGGACAAACCTTTCAGGTATCATCTTCCTCGTCATATTGGTACATATCTCTTCAGAGCTTGCTTCCCAGCAACTGCCGTTGCCGCAGCAATTCCGCCGATCGCACCTGCGATAGCAGCCGATCGCGGTCCAGCCGCCCCCCTGTAAAGCGCTCCCGTACCAAGTCCTGCCACGACACTGTTCAACAAATCATCCTTACCCCTCAAATGGATAACGCCACTCTCTAGACCAGCAAAGATTAAGCCCAAGACGCCGAGCGAATTCCCGAATCTGCGGCCGGTTTGACCTCCCGAATTCAGGATGCGGTTGATCCGTAGCTTTAGCGAGTCACCGGGCTCAGCAGCCTTGAGGCCTTGGACGGTGCCCTTAGCGGCGCCGAACATAGCACCTGACAAGTAGCCGCAGCCGGTGTAGTACTGCAGATTTTCGCCCCAGGATCGATGGGCTCTGGCTGCCTCTTCGGGAAAGAGATGCTCTGGGGCGGTAGGGAGGTTGTAGAGTTTCTGGATCGGAACGTTGAGGTCTTGATACGGATGGTAAACCCGCGTCTTCTCCTTGTCTGGTTTGCTTGAATCCATGTCAGGAGATGTCGGGTCACAATTTCAGCTAAGAATTCAACAAAGCAGCAATTTGAAGGGTGTGGATGGCTCTGTGTTGAAGGATTCGTTGCTTAAATTGGCCGGCGAACACACATATGTCAACTATAAGGCTCCTCCCCTGGGCATCGTGTTCGTAGGGTTTAACGCCTCCAAGTCCAAGGGTTTTGGCACTTGGTGGTTCGATTCCCTTCCCTCTTTTTAAGATAATTAATTTAAAAACTATTCTTGAGCTGGTATGTTCGAGATTTTTACTATGTGGCCTTGCCAGCGTTACTGGCCACCTTTTTTCCAATGAAAATAGAAAAGTAATCCCATATTAGTAACTTAACCAGATAGCCTGACCAAAAAGAAACCATAAATTACCCACTAAAAAAGAAAAGAAAAGAAAAGAAACATGGTTGGCTTAAAAAGTCAATAATTTTTACTAGTTCTGGTTACATAAATTTGCCACCCTCACCTATTAATTTGTTAATTCAATTAGAGAGCATTAGATGAATCAAAGATCATAAAATTGTGATACATTGAAAGTCACGAGGGTGCGGACCCCAGCCATATATTCGAGGTTAAGGTTATCCCCTGTATGGAGAAGACGAATGACCACAATAGGCCTCCTTATTATTCGCAAAATTCTTATTCATAAACTTGGTGCGCCCACAGATTCTGCAAGCGTTCTTGAGGCTAAGTGTTTCGGTCTTCCAGGGCCAATTTGTTTATCAAGTGTGATTTTAAGTTCTCTTGATTAGTAAATTCGCTTATTTGTCGAGACTGGAAACCTCCCTTTGTGCAAGTAATACCCATGATTTTTCTCTGCCATGCATGCGGTTTTTTGTTGTTGATGTTTATGGACACCTTTGTCTTGGAGGATGTGTTCTGTGTTCCTTTCTTTTGGGGATAAGAGGAGGAGGCCGCGCGTGTATAAGAGATTATGAGTTACGAACAAAAAAGACTGGGCTAGAGTTTGCCTAAGATTTGGGCCTGCATAACGTCCCAATGAGACTTGGCCACGTAAGCGGGGACCGATGGAGTCACAAGTCAGGACGCCTCTTTCCACGACTCATTGCAAGTTGTTTCAGACTCAATAAAACCTCACCTGCACATAATCTTCTCCTATTGACGCCTTTTCCTCACTTACGGCCCAGCACGAGTGGATCGTCCCCCTTCATCTTCACTCTACGAATATTGCTAAGCAAACCACTCGTGGCAGGCGCTGCCTCTGATGGACGGTCCAACTCCGAAGCGCCTACATCAGGCACTGATCATGAGTAGGTTATATGGGGGAAGGGGTCAGTGATTAGGGTGTACGATAACAGTGTATTCGTCTGCAGCATGTGAAGATTCCCAACCTTGTGTAACTGGTCCCATCCTCTGCATCATCTCACGTGTCCTGCCATCTGGATGCCGTTTATTATCCCATCCGCTACTGCATAGGATTCTAATGGCCCAGTGACAACCATGTATATTTAATTGCCTTTTTTCCCTCTTATCATTTTCCCGCCCCAGTCGCCTCCCCCTCCCCACACTCACCCCCCGCGCGCGTCCCCTTTACTCCCCGCAATGCCTTGACTCAATTAATTATGACACAGCCTGAAGAACCATGGTCATTTATTTTCATGTTTGCTAACTTCCTATATCATGCTGATGAAAGGCCGATGAGGATAAGCCCGGGTTTTGGGTGGAAAGAGGAAAAAGCCGAAATGAATTGCAATATTGCAACGTGGATGGATATTGACTTGTCCGATGTCGCCGCGTTTGTATTGCTGCGAGGTGACTACTACGAGTAGGAGGGTGGTACTGGTGAGCTCAGTTCCTTCTAAAAGGGTGTGGTGGGCCATCCCTCCTCTTCCACACAAGGACAAATTCCTTGATAGATGTGAGGGCGGGAGAGAGAATACTGGGAGGGTGGTGTTTTGTAATGTTTTGTTGGAGCTAGCGTTTTGCCCATTTACGGTGTGAGCAGCAGCAGGAGGAGAGAGTTGAATGAGCCTAGTTAGAGGGAAGAAGAGAACTCTCGCTCACAACACAAAAATGTTCGATGGAGTCCCAGACCAATTCCATCAGTTCATGGCACCCACAACCTCATCACTTCCACTTCACTTGCCTTTCCCTCTTAATGCCACTCTGACACCCAATACCACTATCTTCCCTACCATTGATCCTTATCCCTTGCCTCCGCACCACCCACCCCCTTCTCCTCCCCACAAACACCAACAGGATAACAGCTTGGACAGAGCGTCCATGAACTCGGAGGTTGAAAGAGAGAGGCAATTACCTGAGCTCATCAATTCCTGCTGGACTCACGATGAAGTGCTTGCGCTATTCAGGATCAGATCTAGCATGCAAACCTGCTTCCCAGACCTCACATGGGAACATATCTCAAGGTAATTTAACTTGCTTAAACTGGATCACATCCGCTCTGATTATATCTTTCCCCTTGTTTCTTCTTCTCAACTTCCAAACTCAGTTAAACTCCACGCGTTTGGATTTCACCATCCAAAATTAAATTGCAAAATTATTAACTAACTAAACCATGAATGGGCTGGTGGAATTCGTGTTTGACGATCCGAGTATTCGTATGTGCTTTGCTCAGTTCCTTGTGGTAGACAAAACGCATACATGCACGTCCGCTTAGCTGTTAGCTCGCACAGTGAAAAGCACCGTATAAACTCCGGGGAATTATGAGGGCGACGAGCTGGGAAGGGGACGGAATTACAAGAAACTCATTTTGTCTAGCCATTAAGGGCTTGTTTGGAGCTCCGTTCAAAACGGGCTTTTAAGCAAGTTTACGTAAGCCGAGACAAAACTCTCTTCACATACTTACCTCGTATTCCGTAAATCACGTTTGAAAAGTTACTTATAAGTCAATCCAAACAAGCTCTATCTTTATGGCCGTATATAGGTGTACAAACTAATTAAGACACATGTATGAATGATTTATGCTATACAGCTGGTGCTGGATCTTACACATTTAATTTATGGTGGGGGCAGGAAGCTAGCAGAGTTTGGATTTAAGAAGAGTGCGGAGAAATGCAAGGAGAAGTATGAGGAGGAAAGCAGATACTTGAACCACATTAATTACAACGAAAATTATTGTTTTATTAGTGAGTTCGAACAAGAGCTTTATCAAGAGGAAGGAGATGATCAAGACCCTGAAGCCGAGGTTGGGACAGAAGAAAAGTCGACGCCGCAGCTGCAAGAGCCAAGGGAGGGACAAGAAAAGACGTCAGGCCATGCATTGGAAGAGGGTTCTACAAGACATGACACATCAGCAGCACCTGTCATTACGAAACGCTGCGTGGCAGAGAAACCAAAGGAGAGAAAGAGAAAGAAGCAAGACGGTAAATTTGAGATGTTTAAGGACTTCTGTGAGAACGTTATCAGCAGGATGATGGCTCAACAAGAGGAGATGCACAATAAGCTTCTTGAAGATATGATGAAAAGAGATGAGGACAAGTTTGCGAGAGAAGAAGCTTGGAAGAAACAAGAGTTAGACAGGATGAACGAGGAGCTCGAAATGATGGCGCACGAGCAAGCTCTGGCGGGCAATCGGCAGGCCACAGTAATAGAATTCTTGAACAAATGCGCGGCGAGCTCTCCCAAATTAACAAATAATAGTTCAGATCCGAACGCATTGCATTCGCAAAACCTTCAATTTTCTGTCAAGATTAATAACGACAACAATGAGCCACCACCTTCTTTTACAATGATATCGCCAACCCATCAAGATACAATAAACACTTCTGTAGCTTTACCCGTCATGAACTCTAGAGCAGCAAGAGCAGTAGAAAACCCTAGTTCAAGTCATGGCCAGGGGGGATTACAAGTTGCAAAGAACCCTGGTTGTCTCAATTTCGTTTCAACATATAAGGCGTCGTCGAGTGAGAAAGGAGACGTGGGGAGGAGATGGCCGAGGGAAGAAGTGTTGGCTTTAATAAACCTGAGGTGCAGTCTGAATAACAATAATATTAATGAAGACAAGGAGGGAATCAAGGCTCCACTGTGGGAAAGAATCTCACAGGGGATGTCAGACATGGGATACAAGAGAAGTGCGAAGAGGTGCAAGGAGAAATGGGAGAACATAAACAAGTACTTTAGAAAAACTAGGGATATTAACAAGAAGAGATCGCGTGACTCCAGGACTTGTCCTTATTTCCATCTACTCGCTACTTTGTATTTTCAAGAAAAGCTTGTTCCCGATCAATCTGAATTAGGGCCACAAAGCAACATGGTTTCACCACCAAATCACCCTTCGCATCAAGTCATGCACTTCGACGGAGGTGACAACACTGTGATGCAGTGTACCTAAGGTTTTGCATGCGGATTAATCTGTTTTAATTTAATTCATTTCTCCATTTCATGACATATATATGATGTTTAAATGTCACTTTTTTTATAGCTTTCTTTTGTTATTTCGTCCACCATTATTCCACAGCATAGATTAATATAACATATATAGCGCGCGCGAGCACACACAGAGAGGAATAGTTTGAATTATTTTGGCGAGCAGTATGAGCACCGACAGTTGAGGGACGAGAACCATGTTTACAGGTGCGAGCTCTAATTATTATATACGAGGACAATGACAGCGGGGGAATTAGGGGGAGACATTCTTTTTAAGGCATGTATAGAGCCTTTTACTGGGACCGAGAAAGAGAGAGGGAGAGAAGAATAACACGGTCCATTCAAAGCCAGGTACATGAAAGAAAGGTATATCAAACTAACGAGATCTGATTATGCGAAATACTTATCTTTTTAATCATTCACGTTAGGAATCAGGTGATGGATAAATCAAACGTGATTGAAGTCGATTCCCATAAGACACAATGTGGAGCACTATTAGCAATGCTTATGTGACTTTAACGTAACAGGTAGCATGCATTTACAGGAGTCATTAAATGGAATATAACTGCTAGGAAGAACGAGTGCGTTGTGATCAAGTCCAATTAATCTCTTCTAAAATGGAATATATATAATTGTTTCGAAGCAAAAAATTGGGTGAATATATACATGTGTGTGTATATATATTAATAAATGAAGGGGATGGTGCAAATTGAATAGTCACCGTGAAAGGGTTGGCAGTACATAAATTTTTGTGTGGAAGTCAACCAGATTCACCGCCGAGATGTTCACGAAGGTTGTCTCATCCATTGAGTTAGAGAAAGACGAGATGTCGAGTCACTAATCCATAGCATGTCTTAATTTATCGGGTGTTGAATAGCATAAACATTGGGTGAAGGATCTGAATACATAACATGTATTTTGTCCTTAATGAGGGGAATGCGCATATGAAGGAGATGAGTTTGTGTGGGAGGGGGTCCCACTTTGTCTTTTCTGTGGTCGGGCCCCGCGGTTCTCGCCCCACATGTGCTGCTCTTTTGCTCCTTCCTGCATTCCGCCAGCAGCATGCGCTTGCATGTGCATCTGTGGGCTCCACAATCATCCATCCCACGGTTTCAAATCTCTCCGTTTTCGCTTCCTAAAGTCAGACTTCATCGCGGCCGTCAACGGCCTAGAGTCAATAGGGCCGCAAGCTTGGAAGCCCACTGGGCCTCTTCCGTTTGGGCTGGGCTTAATTTCTTCGGATGGACTCCGGACATGCCCCGCTCACCCGTCTGTTAATCCCTGTAACAACAGTCCTTGCATGCCCCAGAGCGGATACTAATCACTATGTATGCTTTGTCATAGTGGCAGAGAAGACAAGTAAATCTTGTTATGGAAAAGTAATAATACCCGTCGTCAATATGGATATGAGTGCTAATGTCAATGGCAGTGGGTATGCGTACGGTCCTTGTTTCGGCCTGCAATGGTTACTATGATTAAGATGGAGAGTATGCTCTCGAAAATGGGCAAGCATAATGGGACGTAGCGAAAAAAATCAAAACTTGTCTGTGGCAGTGAATGGGTGTGTAAGGTCACATAAAGGTGGGCGTTGTTCATATCACGAGCTACAAAAAGGAACCACAAAAAATAATCATTCAATTTCACGACCAGAGTAGGTTGGTCTACTTTTGCATGCTCTTTTTGGTGCGTTTATGTGAAATGAATGCCTTTTGACCAGTGCTGGCAACAACGAATACCGGACGAAGAGACCCTTTTCCAGAACCAAGGCTCTTTTGCCGGGGGGGTTGGGATTTTTAGGAGTAATATGTAATGTAATGCCACTGAACTGTTTTCCCCAACACAGGAATGAGAGGGTGCTCAGTTAGTGCAGTTATGAGACTGGGACCTATTTGGCTGCAAAAAGAAGGTCAGGGCAAATAATCCCAGCAAGGGATGATGACGCGAGTTTGCTGAAATGCCCTTAAAATTTCTATCTCCTCACTCCCCATGCCCAACGTTGCTATAACTTCACTCTTCCGTTCTCGTGGCCTTTTCTCGTCTGCGGTCAAACCCCTGCGCCTCCTCGCCAGTCGCCTGCTTTCTTTTGGTGACCCTGGTCAAACTTCAGGCTTTTGCTTTCTTGTTTCATCACTGTTCCTTTTAATACGATAACTGATTTTGGATAATTAATCTAGGGCGGAAATGTCTAAGTTTTTACTTTTATATTCTATTATTAACAATAGCGATTAGTATAAGTGTTTGCCTTTTTCACCACTGCTGCGAAAATGAACGGAAAATACGAATACCGTGTAGAGGTGAGAGAGAAGTACTGTAGTGGAAGCAAGAGGGAAAATATGGCGGGAAGATTTTGGGGGGGGGGGGAGTTCTCATTCATTTAGAAGCGCATAAAATGCAGAGTCCGACATAATTTACCTCTCTTTTGGTTTCAACCACCGTATTGCTTGCATCCAACATAACACATGGAAGTCGACATACAGTAACAGTGTTAGGTGGGTTATCGTAAGGGCGTCAGAACTACTCAGTGCGCCACCAAACTTTGCTTTAATGCTTTAATATCTCCTCCTCCTCCTCATCTCCCTTTCCTGCGCGCCACCACCACCCTTTGGTTGCGTTTGGTAGGAAGCATTGAAAATGAGGGATTGAAATTGGGATTACAAGTGAGAAAATCTATCAAAAGAGTGTTTAGTATAAAAGATTGTTTGATATATGGGATTAGCCAAAGCCATGTATGTGGGATTGGAGAATACCATGGGGAGAAGTGGTATTCCCCAATCCCACCTTTATGGGTTTGCCTAATCCCATATAACAAATAATTACTCATGCTAAGTATTATTTTAATGATTTTTTTTAATTACAATTCCAATCTCAATCCCTCATTTTCAATGCTTCGTACCAAACGGGACCTTTATGTTTATGCGGTTTCCGTGTGGCCATGCGGGTGCTCCTCCTCAGTATTGGCTAATCACTATTACATCTCAATCGTCCGACAATTCATATTTAACCTAATTTGTTTTTATATTTTTTATATTTTAATACATGCAGAATTTAAATTATTTATTTATTTATTTATTTACAAATCATCCGTCAAATATTTTAAATGTGAATTATTGGAACTGTGTGCAAACGATGCAATTTCAACTTAAGACCACGAGTGACAAAGCCAGTTCATCCTCTGCACATACATGCCTCTTTTTCGTCTTATCTTTCTCCCTTCTATTCTAAAATGAATGGGAAGAATCTGGGCGTTAAATACTACTCCTCCGGTCCTTAATATAAAACCCATTTAATTAATTTGATTAGATTAAGGAAGTTAGGTGAATTAGTTAATTATAAGAAATATGACATGTTTTTCCTAAAACACCATAATTATCTTTCTTAATACCCTCTCCTCCTCTTCTACTTGGTTATGATTGAGGGAGTATCCATAGGAGTAATTTAGAGAAACGTGATAAATATAATAAATTGGTCTTATATTTAGAACCAAAACCAACTCAACAATTTGGTCCTATATTAAGCACCGGAGGAGTATCATCTTTATTCAACGTTTATTAATTCTTGTGCTATCCCAAACTCAAAACCATTTTTTTTAAATTTATTGGTGTCGGATTTAAATATCAATTTTATAACATAAAATTATCCCATCTCCTATTTTCAGCTCTGCTGCATATTAGCCTCGAGCTCAACTTAAAATGATTCATTCATATTGTTAATCACTGTGAGTGTTGCGACTTATTGGGTTTTCCTATGCTTTATGTTGATAACATTAGTAGTTACAGTCTTACTGTTCGTCTGACATAATCAACCCTTTTTTCTATTAATAATACTCTCAATACTTCAAAATCCACTTATTCCAATTTAATTTAAAAAAGCATATTAAATACGTCACATTAACCATGTAGAACTTGCTCTTGCAAAATAACATAAATTTGCATTGCTTCGATGCTTGTGTATATATATATATATATATATATATATATATATATAAGTAAAAAAAAAAAAAGATTATCGGAGGAGGTGTGTTTTGAGCACTGGTTTTTCTATTTCATCACTAAATCGTAGTGGCAATGATAACAAAAAATAACTATCTGAACGTGTTTTATTCTCAAGGATAATTCGAAACAAACATTTTATTATACTAGCTCCGGTATTTAATCTAAAAATTAGTTGACTAATTTGAGTAGATTAAAAATTCTTGTAAAGTTAGTTATTTGTATAATAAACATGTGCTGTCTTTCTTATAATACATTTGTTAAGCAAATATATTAGCTAGAACTACTATTCAATTAAATTTTTAACATGTGCAATCACTATAAGAACTATATTAGAATAAAATAGATAAATATTAAAGACAAAATAAATCAAAATCTCACATTTAAAATTAAATTAAATGTCAAACTAATTTTTATATTAAACTTTGTACCCTCAACAATATGGGGAGTGCTTATGTTGAGTTATTGAATCTCTGGGAGTTGTTAGGATAGTTATCAAATTATAATTTTAAAAATATTTTTACGGTATACAAAATTAATACGTGAAGAAATTTATCTCATTTTATAAATTTTTTTTCTTTAAAAAAATACTCTTGGGTGGTCCGAATTCCCAAACATCCCTATGCCTGCTGGTGCAGCAATTCAGTTCACTCTGCAATTTTTTGACAAGGGTTATAAGAGCAGCACAATGGATGTCTAACGCTCGGAATGATTTGCCTGGCCTTTTTTCCCCCTGATTAGGAGAAAAGAGAATGAGCCAGAAGAAATTTTTGGAGATGAGAGAAGCGGGTCCCTAGAGCTACATTTTTTTTTGGGGGGTTTTTGGGGAAGGCTCGAGAGATTAGCGGGGTAAGGGGAGAGAACGACAAAAAAGAAATGAAACTGAAACAGAGCCCAATAAAGTCGATCTCAGAAGGTGTCGAGTGTGGACACCCCCACCTCCCGTTCTTTTACTTTCTGCTTCTTTCGACACAGCACCCCCATAAAATAACAACATATTTTTAGAGGGCGTAGTAATCAGTATTTCACTTCCATGTTGACCCATCATATTCATTTCTTTTTCCCTACGCTCTGAAACCTTCATGTTCCACATCTAACTGCGACTATCTCTCGCGGGCCTCCCCTCTCCCAATCCCTTGCTCTCTTAAACTATATTATTATAATAATCTCACACCATAACCCCCGCTCCCTCTCTCTTTCTCTCTCTGTCCTTTTCTTACTCCCAACGACAATGGCGGAGCTTCTTCTGCTGCTTCCTCCTCTGCTGCTGCTGCTGCTTCTTCCTCTCATGCTTCCTCAACAGCGTTGTCGTTTTCCAGCTCTTCCACCAATGTCACACTCACAGCTCTCATTCTCAGCTTCTTCTCTTCTCCGCTCGCTTTGAATCCCCTCGATCTGTTTCACTTCTTACAATACTCAGGTGCATTCTGTCTTCCCTATTTTTCTCTTGCTTGAACTTCAACCTACTCCTGATTTTACGCCCTTATATCACTCTTTCATACATATTTTCCCACTATCTCGATTCCTGTTTGGTTCTTGTATTTGCTATTTTCACAGTTGAACTTGAGTGCTTACTTCGATTTACTTCGATTTTACTCCTTTCTCCTATATCTGACTTTGCGACACTCTTTGTCTGTTACAGACTGCTTTCTTACTTTGCATTTTTGCAATGCCTTAATCGCATTTTCGGTATTGTTAGCCTGTTTGGAACAAATATAGGAAACGAAGCATGGCATGCTTTTTGATCTTGCTACCCCCAATTTGTTTGTCAGAGTTCTATGGCCGGTGCTTCGTCATGCATCTGCTGGTCGAACGCGGCATCCATTTTCCACCATTATTCTCTCCAATTACTATTTTTGCCCCTTTGGTCAAATTCAGAATACATTGCTAAAGTATCGTTTAGAGTTTTGCCCCCCGATGCCTGAACTTTCGTGGTTAACTTGATGTGATCCAGTGTCAGTTTTTTTCATAGACCACGTCATCCTAACGTTGCTGTATATTGCGTTTTAGTTACCTTTTTTTTTTTTTGGCGGAATGCATTTGTATTGTAGTTACTGGCGAGCTTTATAGGCTCGCTGTATTTCCTCGTCAGCACTCGCTGTTTGATTGAACATTTAAAATGCCACTTCTGCTTGTTTTTCCCTCCTAATATTTTTATCGCAGATAACTGTGTGCTGGATTCAGCTTTGTGAATAATCACTACTGCATTGCAATTCTCTTTTCTTATATCCTGAGAGAGTATAAACTACAGAGAGAGGAAAAAAGGTCACTTAGAACCATTATTGACTTCATCCGATTTTTTCGATTGTTGTTGTTTTGATGTTCAATTATCGTTTAACTATTTCCCCATTTTGCCTTTTCATAAGGACCTAACTTGCTAGATTTGGTCTGCTCCTAGGGAAGGTTAATCTCTTGTTGAACTCATGGAGCAATATGAAATACTCGAGCAAATTGGAAAAGGTGCTTTTGGTTCTGCTCTTCTTGTGAGGCATAAGCACGAGAAGAAGAAGTGAGAAAGAAACCTGCATTGGTTTTTTTTTTTTTAATTTGTTTCTGTAATTACTACTTTAAACTATTATAATCATGCAACGCCAATGCCATAATGCATTGCTGAAAGTGCTGTTTTCTTTTTCCTTTTATGCAGATATGTTCTGAAGAAGATTCGCTTGGCACGCCAAACTGAGCGATCTCGTAGATCTGCGCACCAGGAGGTTAGTGCTGGATAATGATTTTAACAAATGAATTAACTAAAGCATTTTGGGCTGTCTATTCTGAAGACACTAAGGGCTTAAAAATCAGTTTCACATAAGAGCAGTTTGAATTTTTGATGTGAATATGATTGGGATGTTTCTTACATCTCGGTTCTTTGCCTTTGTAGATGGAGCTAATCTCTAAATTCAGAAATCCATTTATCGTGGAGTATAAAGATTCATGGGTAGAGAAGGTAATCTCTTGGTAAATTCAAGAAATTTAACTCTTGATCTTATCTTAGCTAAACTAACCCTGAATATGTTGTTTGTTGTGTTCCTTTGATGTAGTACTGTTGAAGATTAATCAATAATAATGGTTGGAAATCCAAGTGTTATATGAAATAGCCGATTAATACTCTTGTTTGTATTATCTTACGCTACACTAACTGCAACTATTATTGATTTATTTATTTATTTTCTTCTATGATAAGTTTTTGTGCTTTATTTATTATTAGGGCTTGTATTGCAAAAACTAATGGCAACCGCTTTGTGTTGTTTGATATTGATGATCCGCTTCTCAGGGTTGCTATGTGTGCATTATTATAGGTTACTGTGAGGGTGGAGATATGTAAGTCCTTTTTGTTTTTAAATTTCTTCTTATTTGCAGTTCATAGTTCTTTCTCCTATTTGGTGGCTTTTGTAAATTGTAGTGTTGTCAGTGTTATTAACACCGACATGGATTTAATTACAGGGCGGAAGCTATCAAAAAAGCAAATGGAATTCTTTTTCCAGAGGAGGTAATGCTAATTTGGTTTGTCCCCGCTGAATTTGCAATATATACCCATTTAAATTTTTCTCTCGTATGAGAAAATGGTCTGGAATATCAGTTAGCATGTGTGTGTCTTGAAGTATTCTCTGTCTGCAGAAACTTTGCAAGTGGCTTGTTCAACTTCTTATGGCACTTGACTACTTGCACATGAACCATATTCTTCACCGGGATGTCAAGGTTAGCTGCAGTTATCTTGTTTTAATTAGCAGTAGTGATATCATTTGCTTCCTAATTCTTGAAAGCTGTATACTAATTGGGAAAAAAATCACTTGGTACTGATCAGTGTTCAAATATATTTTTGACAAAAGATCGAGACATACGCCTTGGTAAGTTGTTATGTTGTTTCTCAGCCAAGAAGACTACTATTTTTTGTTTTTGGGCAAGAAAATGAACATCGTGATCTTGCTTACAATGACTTAATGATGAAGCAGGCGATTTTGGACTTGCTAAGATGTTGACTTCAGATGATCTTGCTTCTTCTGTAAGATATTTTTAAGATATAAATTGAGTTATGCTTCTGATCGTAACGTTGGCTTGACGTAGCATCGTTAATGATAAGAATGATTTTCTTTTTATTCTGTTGACTTAGGTCGTGGGAACACCTAGCTACATGTGCCCTGAGCTCCTTGCTGATATTCCTTATGGTTCTAAATCAGATATTTGGTCTTTGGGTAAGCATCTGCAAATTATGTAATTATTTCTCTGTTAAATTTCTTATTGTCTTGTTAACTACGTATTAATGACCTCTAAAATCTGCCGTCCAGGATGTTGTATATATGAAATGACAGCACATAAGCCTGCTTTTAAAGCATTTGTAAGTTTTGTTTTTCCTTTGGTTAAAAAGGTTTTTTTTGTCTCTAGCTTGTCTTTTCGGAGCTTGTTTAACGCTATCATCGCTGCTACTTTAGAAAATAATTCAGTTTATTTTGTTGTTATGAAAATTTTTCTTGACCAAGTGTTATATGAAATTAATCGGCTGAAACTTTTGTTATATTACTCTGTCAACAAATTTTTTGTTCTGTGAACTGAAGACTGAACTCGAGTTTTTGGTTTTTTTTTTTTTTTCCCAAGAAATGCTCAGTGCTATTTTTAACTTAGTTTCTCTCTGCCGAATTTGGTGTTTTAGAATTTGGTAGATTATTGACCACTTTAGCTTATTTTCACTATGAGTTATGAGCACGCAACTTTGTGCATGGCTTTGATCACTGGAAGACTTGTAGAATTCTAAATTGCATCTTTGATATTTTTTTTTTATTTTAATTTCATTGAGCAGGATATACAAGCACTGATAAACAAGATTAACAAGTCCATAGTGGCCCCACTGCCAACAAAGTATTCTGGTGCATTGTAAGATTTTATTTTCATCATCAATTATAGTTATTTTGGTTAAAAAAAATTATAATTATTTTGGTTAATTTTGCCTGTGGCAAATCACATTTGCAAGTCTTGCATTGGCATAGATAGCATTCCCATGAACCTAGCTGCCAAAGTTGCCCAATAATACCTACTGTCGGTTAGTTAAAGACCGTTGAACGTGGGTTTTATGTAAAATAATATAAAGCAATGTTTATATTATGGATGATACTGTTGATCTGATCATATTTTTATTTCCTCTTGGCAGTCGTGGTCTTATTAAAAGCATGCTGCGGAAAAATCCAGAGCTTAGACCTAGTGTATGTATATTCTCTCGTTGTCTTCTGACCTATATAATAATTCTATGTACAAATTTGTCATTGATCAACTGTGTGCTTCTGGTTGATGCAATATTCACTCGAGTAGTTGCAGACAGACTCAACCTGTTACGCGGAACCATTTTTTCATTTGAAGTGTATTTGTGGTGGCAGGCCGCAGAGCTACTTGGACACCCTCATCTTCAGCCTTATGTTCTCAAGATCCATCTTAAAATCAATAACCCCAGACGAAGTACACTCCCAGCCCATTGGCCAGACTCCAAATACACGAAGAAAACTAGATTCGTGGAGGCAGGAGATGATGCTATTTCCACCTACAGGGATAAGCGGAATTCTTTTAAAAACGACCGGACTTTGAATCCTAGCATATCTGAAGCTGAGCTAGATTCTGTAGGCTCTACCCTAGAAATAGATTGTACTCCAGACCATTTGAATCACCGGTTAGCAGAATTATGTGTTGGGGATAGCCCTGAAATGAACAAAATCCGTAAGCCAGGTGTTGCCAGGAACTCACGCGTTTCCAGAACTCCAAGATCAACATCGTCAAAAGCTTTGGCCAGCCCTAAGAAACAAATGGAGTTCTCAAAGAATCGTGAGCTGGTAAGACATAATGGAAGTTTTCTGGTGTTTTTTCTTGGGCTGAGGGAGGAGGGGGATGTTGTCTTAATGGATGCTAATGCTATATTATACGAGGTTTCTTTTTGACTTAATTAAATGATTGCTTGCAGCACCATATCCCACACAGTGCCAGAAAATCTCTCCATACGACTCGCAGAGCATCATTTCCATTGCCCAAAAGAGGTGCTGTTCTTGGCCACGAAAAATCACCTCATATTTCAGTCAACTCCCCCCGCATTGACAGGATAGCTGAATTCCCATTAGCATCATATGAGGGTCTACTGTTTCCCATTAGCAGAACTTCATCAACCTCTGCACAGGGTTCCTCAGTCTCGCCGCCTTTTGGTGATCGTTCAATCATGAAAGATAAATGCACCGTTCAGGTGTCTGATAGAGCTGCTGTCAGGCCTAGTTTGACGGATGCTTCGCAGGGAACCAAATGCAACGTGTATCAGGAAAAAGATGAGGTGAAAAGTGGGTCCTCTGATCAAAATGCAACTGCCGGTGCGTCAAGCCATACCTCTTTAGACTGGCACCGCCGGCATTTTGACACTTCATCGTACCAACAAAGAGCTGAAGCCTTAGAAGGGTTGCTCGAATTTAGTGCGAGGCTGCTACAACAAGAAAGGTATGGAGAACTTGGGGTGTTGTTGAAACCCTTTGGACCTGGGAAGGTCTCTCCACGTGAAACTGCTATCTGGTTGAGTAAAAGCTTCAAAGAAAACACTCAACCATGAGGAATCCTTTTAAAGTTTAAACCGCTGTACTTGAAAATTCTAACTCGTAACCCCTTTGTAGAGTACGAAATTTTCTTTTCCGCTTTTCGTAGAATGTTGGGAATTAGATTGCTGCTAATTTTGTAGACTGTCAAGATTCGGCATATAGTTTTCCCCACTTACCGAATCATGTTAAGCTGAGGTCACAATCTGAAAATTGAGGACGAAACTGATGTCTTCATGATATTAATATAATTCCCGACTGACTTCATTTTTTTGGGGAAAAAAAAAACTGTCTAATATTTCCGAATTCCGTGCTCCGTTTCGCTGTCCTTTGCTCGAACGGGAAGAAAAGAGCCATCATTTATGAAATAAAATTGAAGGCCGTACTAATGTTGCATCAAAATTGACCCTACCGTCTTAGTTTTTTTTCCTTTAATTAGTTTTGAAAATCACTCGCAGCGTGATGAACCCTTATACGTAGTGGTTTATACCGAATGTGAGGATCAATTAACAAAACGAAAGAGGAAAGCTCCAATTACAAGAAGAGAGTTTGCTCTCTAGTCACTACAATTTAAAAATTTGGTTCTCCCAACTTTATGGCATTCTGCTGCTTTTGTGATGCTTGGGTTACGGATTACCCATTCCATCTGGCATGCAGCAGACCATTCGTGATTTTGCTTCACCACTACATTTTTGCGCCAAATAATAGGTTGGTGATGATACGGAGCAGGACTAGGGCATGTCCCGAAAGTGCTACACCACAACTAACATTTGAAAACTCCGACAGAAGCCACCAAGTACCAACCAACCATTCTTCCAAGACATCACTAGCCCTTCAAATTGAATTCCTCGCCTTGTTATGAACCGAGAATGAACTCTGCGTTCGACCATCCAATGGCTCTATAGGCTTGTCAATGCGCCTGATCCCACGTTTGGGGCGTTGTTTTGGTTCACTCTCGGACCGAGCTTTGGCCCGCGATGACTCTGTTCTTGTCATGTAATTTGGTTCGCGTGAATATGATTGTTGATGACGCAGGGAAGTGGATGAGCTCTCTGTTGGATTTAATCCAGACATAGCCGAGTAGTCTGCCGGGCTGTTTGGTGCTGAGCATTGACGGTGTCGCTTCGAAAGCGAAAGATGCTTTGAACTCAGCGTCCGGGCATCATGCTCTGTGCTCTTACGAGGTGGACCGTCTAGACGGGCACTTCTGCTTCTTAAAACTCCTAACGATTCTCTCAGATTCATATCCTTCGATTCCTGCATAAACAACTCCGGGAATTCCTTTAGAATTAAATTAATTCATCTCGAAAGCTAAGCAGAATGGTGTGAGGAGAACTCACTATACATTCTCGTACGTGACTTTTGTCGAGAAGGGTGGATTGTTGAGCCGTCAGAATTCTGTGGATTCGGGTTCTAACTTGAATGGTTATCAAGGCGTGCATGCCGCGCAGTGCGGTGGTTGTTTGCTTCCTGACAAGGTGACCTCTCACTAACGCCTGCAACTTCACCAGTCCCCTCAGAGCATGCAGTGCTTTTCTTGCCTGAGAAATCAAAACTTGTATGTGAGAATATTCTAGAATGCAAGCAAAGCCACAACATGAAAATACGGGAATCATAATGGTACCAAATAAGTGCGGAAAGCAGCCTGAATCTTGGTAGCGGCGGCGTTTTGGATGTGAGGAGGAGGGAGAGGAAGGGATTGGAGGATGGCCCGTATTTGGAGCTTGGCAGCTTCAGTTAAATCAAAAGATAACGGCAATCTCTGCTCTGCTACCTTTACTGATTTTCTTCCGAAGCTCCATCTACGCTTCACTTTGGGGCTGTGGCTCTCCCTCTGCCCTCCTCCGTCAATCTGCTTGTACTTCTCTTCCTTCTTTCCTATCAGCAAGTTCCTGATCCACCTGCTCGCCTTCCCCATTTACACCAACCTCTCTTACAGGATTTCGTTCTGTTTCAAAACACTTGAATGCAGGTGCTTAACTTCCTGGTCATATATTTACATACATACAATATATACTCTTGTTACTCTTCTGCTTGTCCAGTATAATTATTATTAATGGTTTCGGCCTGCAATGTTTTCCCCTGATAGAGCCACTTGCCATTCCGTTGGATTTGGAAGCTTTTTTAATGTCATATGGAAGAGCATTTCCTCAACCGGCTCATCTGAATTTCAAGTACACTGCTCATCATTTACAAGTCGGTTATAAAATTAAAAGGTCCTTTATTTTGTTATCAGGAAGTGGTTCAAACTTGAAAGTCGTGGTGAATCAGAGCTAATGTTCCCTTCCCTTGTGCTCAAGTCCCCAAGGGCCCCTGCGCAGCAACTGGATACGCAGTTAAAGCCCCCACCTAATTCACCAAATCAACTCAGCATTCAGATAACAGAATCATCAATATCTCTATACTAAAACTGACAAAATAACTTGAACTATAAACAAACAGTACCCGCTCTAGACGCATTTTATTGCAAGAATCAGCTTTGTTTATTTTAATTTGAAATTGTCGCCGCTTTTAAATTTCCACCAACACATTGACCTGGTCTCTGGTATGCCGTGGTAAACAAGACAAAAATTAGATTCCGTGCTCATTTCGTGGACTGCTCCTTTTAAATTTTGACCACCCACCTTTTATGATATTTTATTGTTAAAATTTTATTTTATTTTTTAAAATTTCTATACAAACAGAATATAAAATAAAAATAATCATCTAACTATCATATACTTAAAAGAAAAGATATTTCAAGTTCAAAGCAAGAAATGCCAATGAAGCAGGAGGGGTTTCTTCAGTCCAATTTCGACTTTCTAGAAGTTACTGTTTGAACATGAACGAACGATAAAATACTAATATACGTGTCTGACTTTGATCTCATCTCTGTGCCGTTGTATAATGTTTCGCTTTTGAATTTGTGCAGTGTTACACGCTCCCACATCATCAGAAGGGGTTCTATTCAGAGAGCCTATCAGATCAACGGCATTGCATATTATATTGCCAATTAACGTCCTCTTTTATTTTTTCCTTTTTGTTTTTAACCTGGTGTCATTTTCCTCACTCCCTTCTCCTTACTCGTTCCGGCTCCCAAATGAATTCTTCTTCTTCTTCCTTTTTTTTTTTAATAGAAAAAAAACCCCAGTTTCTTCTACTTTTCGCTCTTCTAGATGACCGGTGGCATCATCTTGAAAGTCTCTCAATTTTGGCGCAGCAGAGAGAGAACTTTGATAAGGAGCAAGGAGTTTGTTATGTTATGTTCTGTGGCCGTGGTCGCCAAGATGGAAGTTCTAGAAACATGATTATATTCCATATAACTTCAAGTTAAAAATTCAACAGCGTACCGAACCAGTTTTGACATGCAAGATACACAAGAGAGCCGCGTTTGTCTCGTGCTCAGCGGTTTTTGTGTTGGCCCCGTGTTGAAAAATTTAATAATGCCCTTATTAAATGAGAAGAAGGACACGACTCAGCGAGGTGTGAGCTAAACTAAAGATTACAATAAACAAAACGAGCTTTCATTGCAAATTTAAGGGAACAAGTAATTCATATAGCCCAAACAACCCGCCATTATCTTTTGATTATATTCTGAAGTCTAAGAAAAAAATCAGCCTTATTCAGTATTTTCTACGTTTATTGACCACCATCATAATATATAACGTACACACAAACCCTCCTCTGATCATCTCTCAGCTGAATTGCCTTGGCTCTCTCTCTCCCTATCATGGCGTCCTCCAGGTTGTTGGGCTTTGTAGCTGTGCTTGTCATGTTGATACCCATGTCTGCGAAAGGGGGTCCTCTGGATGATATTTTAGGTGCCTAGTTTTGTGTGTGTGTGTTTACCTGTTTTCTCACTGTCTTATCTCTCAATTTGAATTATGAAGTGCTTTACTTAATCAGTTGTTTGGATATTGCAGAGAAGGTTTGCGATCAAGTGGAGTGTGGGAAGGGAAAGTGTGTGGTGAACACAAGTTTGCCCTTGAACTTCATCTGTGAATGTGATTCTGGCTGGAAGCGAACCAAAGATTATGACAATTACACCTACGCCAACAACTTTCTCCCATGCGTCATTCCTGAATGTAAATTTTCAGATTAATTAACGTCAACCTGCCTTTTTAGGTTTCGAATTTATTCAGATTCATGGCTTAAAACTAAGTAAGAACAAGCGCAGGTAGCCTGGACTACGGTTGCCAGTCAGCTCCACCTCCAGTCCCCGACAGGGATTATCCCTACAACCTCTCTGCCTTTGATCGTCAGTATTTTAACATAACACAACTGCGTCTCATTCATGCTTATTATTATCATTATTATCTTTAAGGAAACATCTGTTAAGCAAATATATATACACATATATATATATGACAGCTTGCTACTGGGCTTACTGTGGGGAGGGTCGTTGCACGAGGAACAGAACACATACGTACTCTTGCGAATGCGATTCGGGTTACTCCAACCTCCTCAATATTTCAGTTTTCCCATGTTACAGCTCATGTAAGCGCACAGTTACTGTTATTCTGTTCATCTGCCGGGCTTCTTATAAATAAACAGTAAACTGACGAAAAAATTTGTTGGTACTTTAATTGGCAAGGCACTATTGGATCAGACTGTTCCAGGCTTGGAATCAAGGTCGCCGATGCTACTTCCAGTGACGGTGGTGGTGAATCGAATCCAGGTCAGATTCAACACCAACATCCCACCTTGTCTTGCTCTTCTCGTTTATACATCACTCATTATGACCCCACAGAATCCACCATCTAAGAACACCTGGATCGCTGGAAATTTAAAGAAGTGGAGCCAAATATTCAACATGTGTGAATGAAACTGACCAAAAATATAATTTAGACAAAGATAAAACATTTGGGTGTGTGGAAAGTCAATCATCCCACATCACTGTATTTCAAAATTTTCAAAGGGCGTTATTGTTAAAGTTATCCCGTGTTTAACAACCACCTCCCATCACCATCCAAAATAAGAGAACAGGAAGGCACCAGACGACACGAGCATGTTAATTAAAGCAGCAACCAACATGCGTTTTCATGATTAGAAGAAATTTAAAAAGAGAGACTTGCTTACGTTTGGTTTGGATGTTTGCAGCAACTTCAAAGCGTGCGGGGAGGCTCCACTGGATGGCGATACTGTTGCTGTCCACGGGCGTGGCTATGTGGAATTAGCAGGCCTTAGGCCTTTATCTCTTTTTCATTCATTGCCTTCTTTCCATCATTGTTTCTTTTTGCTTGTTTGTGTGTGTGTGTGTAATACATAGAAAGTATATTATGTATAGAAATAAAATCACGGCGCAGTCATTGCGTCATGTACACTCGTACTACCACGTTCATGCTTCACCTTCCATGAGCTCTGTGTTCTTCCTACTTAGTGTTATCACTATATATATTACTTGCGTTTCTTTCATTGGCTCTCTGCTCCTGCCACTATTCCTTCCTCTTGTTCTCCTTCTCTGCTTGTACTCGGCTCACATTCCACAATGCTTTGCGTCCCATGCAAATCACTTCTGGAAATTGAGGAGGAACAACAATAAATTTAAAACAAAATCATTTTTTTCGGCTGAGACAGAACTTGAGAGGTAACACTCAGATGGCTTTATTTATCGCAAAACATGATAATTCTGTTGGATTGGATGCAGCCAAACATCATGAAAACGCCGCGTCATAATGACAGGCATCTTCAGCGGATTTGATGCCTGTTTATACCCGTAACTGTGGTCAGGGCAACCTCGTTCGAGATCTAAAAGGGTTATGAAGCCTCAAAAATAGCAATTACGAAATTTGATAAAATCACGATTTAATTGGGATTTTAGTTTTTTCCATCATACTCTTCGTCGTCTTTTTTTTTTGGGTCAATGCACTGTCAAAAAAACTTTGATTGTTATAATATTGTTAACTCCTTTTAACCAACGAAAGTTAGCTCTAACAGAAAGAACTAGTTTCTTATAAAGTAACAAATCAAAGGTTTGAAGATGCTTATGTGTAACCCCAAAAAAAAAAAACTCCTTTTGCTCACAAAATGACTTGATTATGTTGAAAAAACAATAGTGACTTGATTATGAAGCCAAAAGTAATGAATTATTTCCCTTTGTTAATTTGGTCTTCTGAACAAGATTCACATGAAATTCTACCGGTAAATAACAATAATAAAAATATCTAGACAAATTCAAGGGCGCAGTCTCAATCACCGTGCCATTCCGATGTCCAATTATCACAATAGATATGCAGATCACATCACCATGCTTTCCAAACGTATGCTACTATATGTGTTCCAAAATCTTTACTATTATGGAGCAAGATAATTGTGGATTTAGTGTTGATTATTTTTGTATAATTTCTCCCTTCATTAATTACAATAATTATTGAAATATTTACGAGGGTTTTCTGGTCAAACAACATAAAATATCATTATAATTTAAGTTATTGAATAGTGCTTTTTGTATTATGTGAACCACTTCAAATAAAAAAATTTTTTGGCCAGACAACTTCAAATAACATATTCCTTTTTTTTGTTTGGTACAATTCAAATAACATATTTCGAAACACTGGCAATATGACGCTTATAAAATTTTTGACTCTTCATAATTTAACTTCAAGGCCCGCAATTTTATCATAAACCCAACGATTACAAAGAACATTGTCGGCCCAATAAAAATAGAAACTTCTCGGGCCATGCTCCCTCGACATGGCGTCATTTAGCCGTGGCAACTTGCTGTTTATTCGCTGTTCTGTTCTCTCCGTCGTAGGCTTCCCAGAACTAGTCTTGCCCTTTTCTATCCCTTTCCCGTTGTCTCTCGATTCGCTGTTTCTCTGGCGGATCAGCCATGTCTGCAGAATCAGCTAGTGCGATTCACAAGAACCAAGTAAGATCGTTTCTTGTTATTCCTGCTTGCCTGTGCAAATCTTGTACTTCTCTTTTTCCTTTTGCAAATAAAATTTCTTCAAACTCAGATTAACAATTCTTTTTTGTTTCGGTTTGCTGCCGTCAATCAGCAGACATAAGGCTGGAAAGTTTTGACACTTGGTTATATTTCTTGATCAGGTTGATCTGTTAGACTTCATAGACTGGTCTGGGGTAGAATGCCTCAATCAGAGCTCTAGTCACCCTCTTCCCAATTCTCTCAAACAGGTATTTTCACTCGAATTATGGTTTATCTTACTTATTGTGAAATTTCGTCATTCAATTTGACAAAATTCCTTTTTGTGCGGGAAGAATCATAAAAACAAGTTGTACATGAGTTTTATATTTTAATCTCCTGTTCTTACCGAGCCGTGGGAGCACAAGTGTTGCGTTTTTCAAACTCTTTTTTTTTCCCTTGATCGGTTAGAGGGATATTTTTCCATGTTGCAATTAGCGTTCCACCCTTGATGACTTTTTTCGTTTTTTTTTTTTTTTGGCTTTAGCTTTTTTCCCCCTTTAGTTTTAATTGTTTAGTGAATAGGGTTACAGAGAAGATGAGAGCTTGCATTTGGAGAGTGATGCGGACGAGCAGCTTTTGCTATATATTCCTTTTACGCAAGTTGTAAAACTCTATTCCGTTGTTATCAAAGGACCTGAAGAGGAAGGTATTCGCTACAACACTTTCTAAGTTTATCCCTTGCATTGCATAAATCTGGGCATCGATTAAACCGTGCTCTTCTCACTAATATGTCTTCCCCCTTTCCCTTTTACTTATGATTTTTCCCATAATGCCCTTTCTCTGTCCCTGGAGTTCTTTCCGGCATTCTTGGCTTGCACACTATTATATCAAATGTGATCATCCCTGTGAAATTTCACTGATTCACTTTTTGGAAATCTTCTATATTTCCTGTGTTGTCTTAATGAAACTCGACGGTCATAAGAGAAACAGAAGATGCTTATATCAGACTTAGTCTATTGTGTTTTGTAGAAAATATAACAGTAAGAGATAGTGTTTGTCAAACCCAGCTGCTTGTATCTAGGCACAGCTTCTTTTGTTGTTTTCTCTTAGCCATGTATCTCTTTTCTTTCTTTCTGTCTTTCTTTCATTGTTTTTGTGGTGATTTGATCTTGCTAAGAAAAGAGGGGTAAGGCAGTAACAGTAAATTGAACTGGTGAATGTTGACTGTTGTCGGACAACTTACCTATTTCAGATGCTAATTAGTTCAGCGGAATATTTTAAATAAAGCAACGATTAGGTTGGAATATATGATCTCCATGTATCACTACTGCACACGTTTCCTGTTGACAATGATTACAGTAGGACTCTAATACCAGTTCTCTTTCAGGTCCAAAGACTGTGAAGTTGTTTTCCAACAAGGAACACATGGGATTTAGGTATAATCTGTGTTTAAAATGTATCTGTTTATTATATTATTTGCGTCCCTTGTCTCAACTACTTGCTGACTATATATACAAATGACAGTAATGTCAATGACTTCCCTCCTAGTGATGTAGCAGTTTTATCTCCAGACAACCTTCTGGTCAGTAGTCAATAACTCTATGTAGGGTATCTACTGTTATTTACAGATATATTTTACCAGAATGCTTGTGAATTTTATGCTGTGAATGATCAAGTTGAACTTTGACAGGGAAAACCTGTAATTCTAAAGTATGTCAAATTCCAAAATGTTCGTAGGTATGTTGATTTCCTTAACTTTAATGGGTTTCTTCCTTTTATCATTCAAATATTTAATTAGCAGCTGACTGATCTTCATTGATCGAACAGCTTGACAATTTTTATTGAGGACAATCAACAGGGTTCCGAGATCACTAAGATTCAAAAGATTGTACTGTATGGCACAACGTAAGTTTTAAAACACCTCTTGACCGCCTCACTTTGCTATGAATATGCTGCTATTATGACCAATCCCTGATGAGCTGTCATTTCTTTATTCGTCCTAACTAAAGTTGTATGGTACACTCGGAGATTTCTTCAGGGATGTCTGATTGTTTATGAAATTATTTTGAGTTGGGGTCTAACTGAAGAAAGAAACACCATTTTACATGAGCCGGATAGTTAATTGATCTGGCCATTTTCTGTATGCCTGCTTCAATGCCTTTCTGTTGGAGTGTTGGCAACTTTTTTGGTTTTCTTGTAAGTGAATGAATTAGCCAGTTATAAGTGACAACGCACATCCAGTGAGATTGGAAATTTGTGAACAGCCTGAAGGATGTAAACAAGAGACAAGTTCCATTCAACCTTGTTTACATGAATTTTCGTGCACCTTCTTCTCAGAAGAATATATCACGGAGGTTATATGGTTGCTGAAGTTTTATTTAATAAAACATTTAAATCTTGTGTCTCAAAGTATTGCCCCTAAGATGATGAGGTGTTAGTGTGGTCTCAGTGAGTGCTGAGTAAGTGAGTCGTCCTCATTCCCCACCTTGGGGCAGTGAGTAGCAGTTTCATAAATTTACTTTTGTAATTTCTTGTTTAAGGTGTTGCCTATTACGAAATGGCACGTATTTCTGAATCTTGAATTGTAATGCAGGGTAGAGACAACGGACATGAAGGGGTTGAAGAAGATTGAGGATCACTGATCATGAACCGGAGACATTTGAAAATTGATGGATGAATCGACTTATGTCCATTACTTGCATTTCTGCCGCGAGAATTTTTTATTGGAAGTGTTTTATGCTGCCCCCTGCATTATATTTAATGACTTTTAAGTTGTATCTGATTTCACATCAGGCTGACGCACATTAACCTGGTTAACGTTGGCGGTAGGAGGGAATATTGAGCTGTTCAAAGATACAATTATTTTTCTTTTTCCTTTTTTTTTTTTTAAATTAATGTGGGAAGTGCCTGGAAACATAATTCAGTTAGGCGTTTTCTTGGATAGCTTAACTTGAAAGGACCTCAGCTGCAAAGGTTAGACTGGATTTTGATCTAGGCTTACGATTTACGATATCATTTGTCAACATGGGGTTTCGACTTCGATCTGCATTCGTTCGCCCCTGGCTTCAGGTCTATACCCAATGTCCGCATGAGGCTCAGCCGTTGCGGCGTTATCATGCATAACAAAGCCAATCTGCCACCTGCTTATGAATACGAACTTCATCTTTTGGGATCAGTAATAACTTTCAAGTATCTAACTACGTTGATGTTTTTGATGAACGGTTTTCTTCGAATATGACACACTGATCATTGGATTTAATGACCTTAAGAGGGAGCAGCATTTTCAGGAGATTGAAAATGAGAGGTGGGAATTGAAATTAAGATTGGAAAAAATCTATCAAGACAATGTAGAGATTGTTACATGGGATTAGAGAATGTTATTAGGGGATGGTATTATCCAATCTTATCTTTATGAGTTTGTTTAATTTCATATTACAAGAAATTACTCATTGTAAATATTTTTTTAAATAATTTTATAATTATAATTTTAATCTGTATTTGTTATTTTTAATGTTTTGCATCAGACGGGATCTAAAAGTAAAATTTCGATCAGCAGCAGAAGAGAAGATTTGGATCGCTAACATGTTGGAATCATTTGGATCTGACCTTTCGGTAAAAGGCCCATGGCTTCTCAACTTCTGCTCCACTCCATCAAGCCATCCAGATGTCACCCTTACGAGCTCGAGGCCATTCAAAGCTCATTTTCTAATCTTGGCAGTGAAAAATCAAAATGAAACAAAACGATGCACCAGCCGGGAATCGAACCCGGGTCTGTACCGTGGCAGGGTACTATTCTACCACTAGACCACTGGTGCCGTTCATTTGCCTGTGTTGCGTTCAAAATTCTCATCTCTTAATTCTCACTCCGCCAACGTCGCAGCTGGGGCCTTGTGGGAAATGAGATAGAGAGTGCTCCTTTTTATATTTTATATTGTTCGGTTTTTTTCGAGGATAAAAATTAATACTCCAATGAGATGCGGATGCCCCTAATTGCTCCGCCCAAGTTCGTCTTTAATCCGTAGTCCTGTCGCCCCCAACTAAACCAGAAGTTCGTCTTCTCCACTCCCGCCATCGCGAGTTAAGCCATCCCTCTGCAAGCCCGACCACCTAAAAACATTAGTGTGTCCCTTCTTCTTGCGTGCGCTTTCATTGTCGGTCAGGTTGAAATATGAGAACTATGAAACACTGAGATGTCATTGATAACTAATTCCTTCTTATCAAATCTGTTTCTAAGGAAAGCAAATATTCGTGTGAGCATGCGCAGTGAAATCCCAATTTTTTATAGTACAAAAGTATAATTCGTGATTGTGGGACTATTGCCAAGAACAACCTCGGTCGTCAATTTGAATACTCAATTCTCGAAGCGTCTGGCCCATGCTTCTATCTATCATATGCTATGCCTGGGTTCCGGAGGCTGCGTTCATAGTAAAATCAAATTGATATTGCCGTTACAGCAGCCTTCGTAACACAAATTACCGCATTCTCCGCTCATATTGAGGCCTTGGAATCTTTTGGGGGCGTGTTAGCAAATCTCCAGCTGAATTGGTCCCTGCTCTTAAAGTACCGATCACCTGCCACTTCATCAATGGGAACTGTCTCAGAAATTTCTTTGAGGTCCCCATTTGAAAGTTTCAATGACAGTGCATCCAAATTTTGATCTAGGTTCTTAATCTTCGTTGTTCCTGCAAAGGTCCAGAAAATTCCTGTCAGCTAATAAAAAATATATATACCCCTGCGACAAAAGAGATGGACAAATATAAAGATAATGTCGTTTTGACATAAACAGAACATGACGCGGCAATGAATCTGAACTACAAGCGTTAATCCTCAGATTCAGAGCAGTGAGTTTTGATGGGAATATAGGAAGCCAGCCGCTCACCAGGGATAGGCACAACGTCATTGCCTTGTTGGAGTACCCATGCCAATGCTAACTGAGCAGGAGTGCACTGATGCTTCTTCGCAATGCTTTCCACCCGATCATATATTTTCTTGTTCTTCTCCAAATTCTCTGCTTGGAATCGGGGATATGAACTCTAACATGTGAAACAGCCATCAGATAACCGTGGCTCTTACATAAAAAAGTTGTTTTGCCCTCTCAATTTTTAATTATGCTATAGTGGGTAAACAGTGCGGGTTATTACCCTGCACTGTACTAACGTTCTGTAAAGAAGAGTACTGGCCATTTTAACCAAACAAAAGGATATTGTAATGTAATAAGGAAAGTATTTTATAAAAATAAAATATTAAAGGGGAAACAAGCATGCTTAACTAATGTTTCAAACCGAGGATTCAAAAATAAACGTGAAAGATCGTTGTATTCTGTACCAAGGAGCCACGTGCAGGCACAGTTTCCACAACTCCTCGACCACCAAAAAAGCCACGACCAAGAGGGCTATATGGCACTATTCCAATGCCGAGCTCTCTACAGCAGAAATCCATCAAGAAAGTGAACTCACATGACCAGAGTCACTGATTCGGAAGACAAACATGCACAGACAGCATCGACTAAGTTTTGGTTATTTGTTTGGTTTTTACCTTTTAATCCTTTTCTTTAAGCTAGTATACTGTAATGAATTCTTCGGGTTGTGATTTAAAAAGCTAGATAGAAAGCGGAGAGCTAACCTACAGAGAGGAACTATGCCCTCTTCAACATCACGAGTCCAGAGGGACCACTCTATTTGCACAGCTGTTATGGGATGAACCGCATGCGCTCTCCTAATTGTGTCTGGACTAGCTTCAGATAATCCAATATATTTGACTTTTCCTTCTTCCACCAATTTCTTAAGTTCACCCACCTATACATGTTGCAACAAAGTACTCATGATTAATGTATACTGCTGTAACACGTACGCCATATTACAGGGTATTATTGTAGAGGAAGAAATCGCTGACCGTATCTTCTATTGGCACTGACTTGTCCACCCTATGCTGGTAATAGAGATCAATGTATTCCACACCAAGCCGTCTCAAGCTGCCTTCACAACATGAACGCACGTATTCCGGTGTACCTACGACCTCAATATCAGCGAAGAAATCTGAATCTGCCTTAACACCAAACTTCGTTGCCAGCTGGATTTTTTCTCTAGGTAACTCTTCTATGGCCTGCTCATATCATGCCGGGGAACCAATAGAATATGTAAAAAGTTTAAAAGTGATACATTAAAATGAGATATGTTTTTACAAGTTTAGTTACTTTGACGTGCAAAAACAGTTAAGGAGAAATTTTCGTTGAACAATATGCAGAAATATCCTTTTTTTTGCTCTAACAATGGGGAGAAATTTCAACTGCAAGAACATTGAGCTGCTAATCAAGCTTTCCAAATCTTCGTTCGGAAAAAAAAAAAAAACAAAATGACTCGTTTTTTAAGGGCACAGGCTCTATCAGAGCCAAAATTCTTCCGTGAACAAGCAAAACATAGGAATCAACAGAGAAATAGCCGTGAAGATAGATCATATTCACCTTTCCGACCAAAATCTCGTTGGTATTGGCTCCATAAAAGTCGGATGTATCAAAGAACGTAATCCCTTTACTGAATGCGTACTTGATAATGGATATTCCGACCTCTTCAGGGACAGGAGCGTTATAGACTCCGGAAAGGCGCAAACAGCCAAATCCTAACTTGGAAACCTGAAAAGAGGGCATGCTTATCCAGCATCATACACAGAAAGTAGTAACAGAAGCAATTGTAGCGGATAACTCAAAGCCTAGGGTTCCGAGCTTAACGCGAGACATGTGAGGCGCGGCCATTTTGGAGAATGGATTTCAGATATTCAGTATCACCGTGTGGATGCAGAGGCGATGTATATAGCACGGCTGAAATATGTGGTGTTTGGTGCAGTGATCCATTGTCAATTGCCAATCGTCACTGAAAATGTAAGGCAAGGAAAGTCACAAGCGACGCGTAAGAAATTTTAATATTATATTATACTTTTTTAATTAAAATATTCTAAGTGTGACACGTTTAGTCAGTCAGTTAAGTTACTGAAAATGTCAGGCAAGGAAAGTCACAAGCGACGTGTAAGAAATTTTAATATTATATTATATTTTTTAAATTAAAATATTCTGAATGTGACACGTTTAGTTAGTTTAGTTAATCAGTTAAGTTTAATTCAGATAAGATTTTAGATTCAGTTCTTTTTAGTCATTTCTTAAGTTTGGTGATGGGTTAAGTTTTGATAGCTGATTGAGGGAGCATCTGAAAAAAAAAACTTAATATATGGCTCTTAAGGTTTCCTGATTAGTGGCGGCTTTTTTCTTGTTTTATCATTGTATCCACTTCTCCGTTAGAATTGATCCTGATATCTTTTTTATTAATAATATTTTAATAATTTCAGTTATTCTAATTCAGATTAAGAATGAGAGCATTGTGGATTGCTTTCTAAAACTGCTTTCTCAAACTATCTAGTATGACAAGAAATATTTACAAGTCTTTTACCACTATTTTAATGGTTGTAGAGTTTCATATGACTATTTGAATAAATACATGAGTTCGACATGGATTGCTCTTAAGACGACGTCCATGAGCAGTGGCATTCACGGTAGCCGCCGCGGCCGCCCTTAAATTTCAACCAACACTAAGAAATAAGTTTTCTATCTCAACAAATAGATAAATAAAGGAAAGTCACTGTTACATACCATCACGAAATCATTAAAAAAAAAAAAAAAGAAAGAAAGACTTTGCCCTACAAACTAGATCACATAGTCCCACGTAGTCATGTCAATAATTTTTCTGCTTTTTTTTTTACCAGCACAATAATTTTTTGTTTATAGTTTTGATCATCAAGTCATTTAATTTTACTTGTTATCACAATAGTCTATTTTTGATATATTTGCAAATCTATGTAATATTTAGGGGATGTTTTGCAATCCTCAAAAGTGCTTCTAAAAAGTATTTTTCTGCAAAACCAGACAAACTCCTTTATATATTTACTTCATAAACCGTAAAAACACTTTTAAAATCATGTTTTGGTTTCTATCTAAACATCTCTTTAATCATTACTCTGTCCAAAATTAACTGGAGTAAGTTTTCAGTTTCCAAAGAGCTTTTTTTTAATCAATCCAAAATTTTACGTGGAAAAAATTAAATATATAAATGAGGCCAATTTCTTCTTGAGACCCGTAAGATTATACCCAATCACTGCGCAAATAATTCGCTGATGTGTCAAAGAGGAAAGGAGAATTGCAAATATACTGTGCAAACATATAATCTTGAAAGAGATTACGTGTGCAATAAAAGCGATGCCGAGTGATACAACTTCAAATGAATCAAAGCTTGAAGAATTAAAATTCCCCCCGGGGGGGGGGGAGAAGAAATGGGCTTAATTTTTTATTATTCAAATTTCACAACGTATTTAGACCGCATAGACGGATTTATGACTCTTCTTTTCTCACATTTTTCAGTTTTATTTATCCTTAATATATTTCTCAGCCGGTAAGCAGTCGTATCTCCGCTTTATAAAAGAAATTAATTAAAAATGGCAACGGAAGTATCAAATTCAAAAATTAGAACTGCTTGGCATCAGAAATTAATTTTTACATTGGATTGGACTAGATTTGTATATAGCTTACTACATTTTTAAATTAAACACACAGTTTCTTGCCATAAATAATGAACATGTTATAATCAACAAATTTACAGAATTTTGCGTAAACATAACCCTACACTAGCAGATTTTTCCGACGTATCGGAAATTTTAAAAGGAAAAAAAGAACACTGCACCCTCAGCCAACTCATTAACGGAACTTAAACCAACCTTTGATTTGAATGAAGAAGAGGTAAGTTTGAAGAAATTTTGAAAGAACTTGAACACAGAAATTATCGATCGAAGAGAGATTTTGAGGTTCTGCCCAAACATTGGTGGATAAGTCATAAGTGTGATTTTAATCTGGCATGGGGTATTTATTTATCAAACCCTAAACTTAAACTGGACATACAATTACCTACTAAATTGAAAGGAGAATAAAGAGGGCAACAGTAGCCTACATTGCGTAGCCGCGATGCAGTGGAACACGGAGGAGCTATGGAGGGGACAAATCAGCCAGTTCGCTACGTAGTCGACGGCGAAAGCAATGGCCGGCGTTGTTTCCATCTCGACATCTGGTTCGTCAAGAGAATGAATAAAAGGATCAACCAAGTTGCGTTCTGCAAATTGCGAAGAGATGACAGTGAATGGCTAGTAAAAAAAGGACAGTAACAGTGGATGCCGGTTAAGATTAAAATAATGTGAGCTGTACTATACAGAGTAAATTAAGTAAATGCCAGTTAAGATTAAAATGATGTGAGCTGTGCCATTAATATTTCGCCGAGATAATAAAATGACTTAAGTATGTGCTAGTTAAGATTAAAATGATATGACTGTGTTATTGAAATTCTTGCGAGATGATAAAATGAATTAAGTAAGTGCCACTTAAAATTAAATCGATGCGAGCAGTCTTATTGATATTTTTACCGAGTCAATAACAACTAGTAATTATGATCTGCGAGCTGGCAGGTGATTGAGTTTGGCTTGACATGCTGGCTTTTGTGGACGCGGAGGAATAAATCAGGATAAATTTAGAGAGCCAAAAAATCCGAAAAGAGTGATTGATCACTATGCAAAGGAGTGCTTGATGGTGTATAATCTAAGGTATTGTTTGGTATGAGAAAAAAATAAAAGGGGGAGGAAAAATTTTGATAAGCTCCATTTAAAAAAAAAAAAACAGAGAGAAGTAGGGTTTCAAATTTTGAATAAAAAAAAGTAATATAAAAGAGTAACAAAAATTAAGTAAAATGTTCTAACCGGACGACATCTTCAATCTTTGAAGTAGGACTTGTTAAAATTTTTCCCCTCCTCCTTTTCTCTTTATTTTTTCATACCAAACAGATCTAAATGATAACAGAGAAATGATGAGAAAATAAGAATGTATTAAATGGACAAGACCGGAGGACCGGGTTTTGCCCTAAAAGCATGTAAACGTATTAAATGCTGGATCAGGGGATTCAGTAGGAAGCTGTGATTGTGTTTTGCCCTAAAAGCCAAGATTTGGGGCATTTTTACAGGCTTGAAAGTGGCCTTTAATGTTGGCATTCAAAGTTTAATTGTTGAATCTGATTCTACAGGAGCTGTCCATATTCTGTACAGGCTAAGGGATGAGAAGGGCCTTGAATCTAGCCTTCTGAAAGCAGTTAAATTTGAGTTCGCTAACTTTACATGGATTAGGTTTCAACATGTCAATAGGAAAGGTAATTCTTGCGCGGATTGCTTTGGTAACCTTTTTTTTCAGATTGAGTAGGTTCTCACTTCTTTCAAGAATCCACTTTCTAGAGCTTGGAATTTTTTGTATAGAAACACAGCGGGCGTTGCATTCCCACGTTTAATTTTGAAGCAATGAGATTGGGCTGACAATCCCGTACTTTAAAAAAAAAAAAAAAGATCGTGATCTGTGAGGTGTGAGCTTGTGAATAGCTTGCTTGACAAGCAACAGATTCGAAAAGGGCAGCCGATTCATGCGGTGGGTCCCACTGCGAAACCTTCTCGTTATATCCGAAAACCGGAAAAAAGAAAATCAGAAGGGTGGGCACTATAGAAATTAATAATACTATATGGTAACATCCTTTCGGCCAAAAAACAAAAGGAGAATTACATTCAAGTCCCACATAAGAGAAATAATCACTATAAAGTCTCAAATAACAGTCTGAGCAGCCTGAAATAACAAGTCTTACAGTGAGAATGACAGACTTGTTTTTTAATTACTTGGAACCTCATTGTAATTCTTCCAGAAACAAAAGAAGCGAATATCCTTTCAAATATACCCCAATTTATCTTACCCATACCATTGTCAGCGTTTCCTTTTCTGCTACGCCAAGATAATATGATAATCATGTTGGGGTGAAAAAGGGGGGGCGCAAGAACATACTTCTAAATGTTATAAGTTTTAGTTTAATTTTTTTTGGTGATAAGTTTTAGTTTAATTTCTTAATGTTATAAAATGTTTTCCAGGCCTTTAATCATAAAAATAATAATTTTTGTTTTAATCATAGTTATTTAAAAATTTAATATATACATTGAGAATATTTCATCAACATTTAAATTTTTCATATCGCATGCAATGTACAATATAACATTTCTAACATTGAAAAAAATATATAAAAATTCGAACAAATTGTATTATTTATAAATTATAAATACCAAGGTCCATTTATTGACATATTAAAATATTGCCTTGCAAAAAAGCAACGGGAAAAAAATGAGAAAGAAGAAAGCTGATGAATATGCGAAGGGAAAACAGAGAATGTTACTAATCAACTAGCGATGATGCGACGCGACGTGAATAGATTCCAAATGTATTCACTGAGATAATCCTAGGACGTTTATCACTGTATTACTCCCCTTTTTTGTTTTTGTTTTTACTTTAAGATGATTTAAAATTTATATTTAAAATCATTTATTTCTAAATACGATACATAATTTTTTTAGTCGCTGTTTTTTCACAATACATAATTCATAATTATGTGATGTTTCAAAAAAGGAGAGTGAATCTTTATTCCTAACTTGCCCGTCAAGTTTTGCTTTTGCGTAATAAAGGGAATCATGGCATGGCCGCCTCATTTCCACTCTGTGATAAAGGGAAGTGACAACACTAGAGGTAAACATCATAATCTCACGCTTTTTTCCGTTTTTATAATTATAGCGTTACGTTTGCATATAATTAAATTCCTCTCTTCATCACATGGATGATTTAATTTACGGTAAATTGTCAAAGGCCTCACAGTTATTATACTATTTACCGAATCACCATTCCTTAACTGATATGGGATGGGCATATACATTTAAAATTAGGAG